CAACATTTTCCTTGGCAAGTGGAGCCATCTCCTCACCCTGAATTCCAGGTTCACTGCCATCTACTCCCAAACTTAGCAGCACCTCTTCCCACTTCTTAGCGGGTCCCTGTGTACATAGCACGATGAATCAGCCTAAAAAACTGTATGGATCATTGGTTACTACCGAAACTGGGCGTTAGTTTCAAGAACCTTGTTGTATGTACAAATTCAAAGTATTACTTACTTTCCATGAAAGATCTTGAGCCATGCAATTTTTTATCATTTCAGTCAAAGCTTGAGTACCATATGTTGCGAGGGCTCTTCCGACGCTTGTAGCCACTGCACTCACATCCGTTGGATCCACAGCATCACACTGAAAGATAAACATTTGGGATTTAGTCTTAACTCATCCAAAGATACAAGGAATATTTTTAAGTTGCTCTGTTTATAGAAAACATAGTATATAATTAGGCGTTACTTCAACGCTGAAGCTTCCCATCTGGAATCCTGTAAAACCTTCTTGTACAGTGTCAACTAGTCCACCGGTGGAGGCCACAATAGGTACCTGCAAAGGGCAACGGTATCAAACATATAATACTTGTAACATACGACAAGAGCTAGCAGATGACAGAAAACTTCAGTTGAACATCATACAGTTCCATAACGCATAGCATGTAATTGTATGAGACCACAAGGTTCAAATCTGCTTGGAACCAAGATAAAATCGGCTCCGGCTGTAATCATATGGGCCAGAGGAACATTGAATTTTGCCACTCCTCTAGCCTTGTCTGGGTATAGTATCTCTAGTTGTTCAAGTTGCTTCTCCATTGTTTTTTTACCAGTACCCTGAGAGAATGACAAATGCCAGCTCAGTGATTTTACATATTCATTTATGAGAGAGTAATAGCTTGCTATTGTGATACTTACAAGGACTATTATCTGAACATTTTCTCTGATGAATTGGGGAATCGCTGCTACAAGAATATCTGAGCCTTTTTGCTCTTCGAGTCTACCAATGAAGCCTATGACAGGGATGTTTCTATCAACTGGTAACCCAACTTCTGCTTGGACAGCTTCCTTCAAAAGAGGCTTTGCATCCATTACCTGACAATATCAAAATTTAAGAAATTATTTATCTACCAAAGATTTAGAATATTTGTTATTTGAGAAGAGAAAAAACTACTTAAAAGATTCTTACAGTTGAAGCGTCATATTTAACACCTATATATTTGTCAGTGGAGGGGTTCCACTCCTGGACATCCATCCCATTCACAATTCCAGTAACACCAGTTTTACGAAGTATGTTATCCAATTCCACTCCTTTATCTACGCCAGAAACAAGTTCTTGGGCATAGTGTGGGCTCACAGTTAACACCTTGTCTGCTTGTAATATTCCAGCTTTCATCCAGTTGATTTTCCTACCCTTCACGGGCTTATCATACCTGTAGAATAGGATTAGCGGCATAGCAGTTTCAACCTTCAACAACTCTCCACTCTAAGCTAATAGAACCATACCCATCAATAAAATCAAAAGAGCCTTTAAATTCATTAGGGAGATTGAGAAGTGCAAAGTCTGCAAATGCAAATCTTCCTTGGTAAGCAATATTGTGGATGCAAAAAGCAACCTGCCAACCAAAATAATCGCTTTCAAGTACCTTACATGGTAGCCATAATTTTTAATATGCTACATACAGGCAAGACTCCTTACTTTGGCACTTTTGTAAATTCCTTTGTCTTTGTACATAGATTTGAGGTAACATGGAAGAAGGGCAGTATGCCAATCGTTGGCAATGAAAACAACATCCTCTCCTACACACAAGGAGATCAAAGTAACAGTTCATAATTGATGTTGTTTAGCAAACCCTGCTGGTTTCAAGAATCACAGAGGCCTTACCATATGGTCCCGAGAAATATTTACTGCTGTTAAGATTCAGTACCCTTGGTGCTTCTAGAGCCGCCTGAAACCAAGAAACATTACATTTGATGCCAATTACTACGAAGTGGCACAGCTATTTGGTTGTTTTAAACAACCATTTGAAGGGTTAGTAGAAAAATTAAGCAATATATTTGGTACAAAAATACATTGTACGCTTTTGCAAATAATGCAATTATTTACTGAAACAAAACATCTAACTTTAGTATATAAATCTGCTGTGTTTCTTCTGTTGCGAGCAGATTTTTCCTTCAAAACAACCTACTTCCCAGGCTGATAAAATAATCTCTGTTTTATGAATTTTGGGCACACTAATTTTGAGTTCCAAAAATGGTGAAGGAAAATATCCCATATTTATACAATTAAATTTTTAAGCAACTGATTTTCAAAAGTTGATCTTAATATGAAGCAGGAGAGATTAGAACAACATTTCCAACAGGGCAAAGATTGTCAACCTGGCATAACAAACTGAATCGAAGTTGGTTGTCTTGGTAGTCCACTCCAGTTATAGGCCCGTAGATTTTGGATTTAGTCTTCCCCCATACCTTGAGTTCATTCATCAAAAAAATATAACTTAGAGGCAGCCGCCATCAAATTTTAGACTCATAGAATGACAATGATTCAAAACAGGGAACTACCTTCTCAAGGAACCAAGGGTGATCCACAAAAACCCGATCAACTCCTCGTTTGTAGCAATGGAAGAAGCGAACCATTTCAATTTTGTCTCCAACTTTAACCTATAGTCAATTTATAATATAAGCACAAAAAGCTCCTCAGACTAAAAAAGCTCCTTTTTTAAAGAAAGAAAAGCCAAATTGTGTATATATTGATAAGAATATACCATTATACCTCAATTACAACTTCTGTATCCCAAGCATCTTTGTACTGGTCGTAACGGGGAGCGATGGTCATGACACGGTGCCCAAAAGCCTGTAGAAGGATTCAATTTTGTCCATCATACACTCAATAAAAATTCTACATATGCCCAATCACTATAAAATTTTGATGAAAGTGATTAATCGAAGTAACAGTGAAGCAAAAGAGAAAAGTAAGCTTACGGCCATAGCTGGTGGAAGACCTCCATGAACATCTCCAAGGCCTCCAGTTTTGCTCCATGGAGCAACCTCTGTTCCCAAAAATACCAAATTCATGCCACTTCCACAAACAATTGGTCCCTTGGTCCTTTCCTTCTCTGTTCTAAACCTTTTCCTCTCAGCTTGCATGCTGTTTACTTTTGCCTTGGTTTTGATATACAACTGATCCTCTTTGTTTAAACACCTTAGTCCATTGTGGGTCATGGTTTGTTTCATTAATCCAATTTTCATCTGTAATCCTTTCGTATCAGATCCCGAGGCTAGTCCATGGTGGAAAGGTGAAGTACTTCTCGATGCAAAGCTTGAAGCAGCTACACTTGCCATTGCGGATATTATGTTCTGAAAAAGAATAAGCAAGAGAAGATCATTACAGTGAGGAGATAATATATATCAAGAACCCATCAATGCTGATAGACATAAGACCTCAAACGAAACTAATCACATATATTTCACCTGCTGATTCAAGTGCTATGGCTACAGTTAGTCAAACTAACTTGGTTCTGAGAATGAAGATCGCCGGGAGCCGCTATTTGTACTAGTATTTGAAGCCAGTTGTGCTCTCCACGTGACAAAAAAAATAATGGCTGAGGGCTCCTGAGGCGTCTAACAGTAGACATGAACCTCAGGATTATTTGACGGCCTACAAGTTGAGAGAGATTCTTAGTTGTAGCAACAAACAAGGGATAGCTGGAATATGCTAAAAGATTTTTTAATTTTTTGTCGTCATTATGCCCAATTGGTCTGGACTCTGGACTAAACCGCAGCGTTTAGCAACTCAGTTAAATTAATTTTAGCTAGCCAGTGCCAGTGATGCTACTGCTTTTTAATCAAATATAAGACTGCCAGGACGGGAATACCCCTCTATTCACTTAATTTTTTTTTTTTTTTTTAATTTTCTTGTCTTGCTTAATGAACATATTACTAGACCCAAATGTTGTTATTTTGAATTTTAATGATTGAAAAAAGAAAAATGAAAGAATTCTCTTTAAACCCTTGACAGTTACTTCTCTGATCATGGTAACGTTTTCAATTTTTGAAGTCTACTGCTCAGTTTTCTCCCTTCATCTCATCTCTCTTTCTTTAATTCACAGGAAAAAAAAAAAAACACGCGTGTCCGAAGCTTTTTCCATCTTCTTTAGGTAGAAATGCTTGATTTTAGCTCTTTTTACTTCTCAGTCCAACACATCAAAGGACTGTAAAAGTGATTTCTATTGAGCCAAATCAGGTTTCTCGAAGGTTACCATTTTTACTTATTTAACTGCATTACTTTCTTGCGTTATTTATGTGTATGTATTATTATTCCTATCCTAGGATGCAACCCTGCTTAAAATATGTATTTGTTTGTTATTCTTAAAATTCAATAATATTCTATTTAAATTAAAATATTTAGTTTTTTTAACATTTAAGTTTATTAATTTAATTAAACGTCTTTAATAATAAAAGTTTATAAATTAATAAAAATATATTCACTCACCTATGTATGTCCGACAACTGATCATTGGTTGTCGATATTTAATAAATGAGTGAAGTGTTTTTGTTAATTTTAAAATTTTTATTGTAAAGAGTGTTTAACTAAATTAATAAATATAGAAAATTAAAAAACAATCTTACCAAATATATTTTCAAATTCAAATTCATGTAATTCAATTTTTTTAAAAATACTATTCAAAATAATACAAACACACCCAGATGCCTAATTGCATTTAAATGTTTGGTTTCTTTCCAATTTTTTTTTCTCTAAAACTTTTTTCTTAGGTTCACTTTCTCAAAACCAATAACTGGCTATTGACAAAAATTTTCAGTTCTAAGATTATACTGTAATACTATTGTTGTTGTCTTTTTTATTTTTTATTTTTTTTAAATTGAGGCAACAAGCAAGACTGCAAGAGTGCTTGCCAAAAGATGTTGCTGATTTCGATCTCTATTCTAGCTTTGAGTCAGAACTAGCTAACCAAATCTCTCTGAAGTTGTTCTTTTCAGATTTATGAATGCAAGGGATCGAACAAGCTTGGGAAATAAGAATCAAACAAGTAGAACAAGTTTGTTCATATAATGACCAAGAAATACAACAATACAAAGTGATTCATGGAACTCGACATTGACTCCTTTCTTGACTCCCACCCCTCCTCCGATTCCGACGACGACTCTAACTCAGTCCCTCACCGTACCCTAGACGAAATTCTCAACGACACCGATTCCTCCACCCCACCATCATCACCGCCGTCTATTCACCACCCAGATCTCTCCCTCCCCAAATCACACCACCGAAATGATTCAATTTCTTCACAAGATTCCACAAAACCACCAAAAACTAGTTCCTTCACTCGCCTCAAAACTAACGAATCAACAGCTGATCCTTTATGGAGGGTTCCTTCTTCATCTTCTAGGCAATTGCCATCCTTGTTTGGTGGAGTGCGTTCCAATGCAAAACCGGGGGCGGCGCTTGCGGCTGCAGCCGCCGCCTCCCGCCCGGTGCCCACTCCACATGCTGCCGCCTTAAAGTCGCGGAGAGCAGGAAGTGGGACGCTCCAGAAGGTTCTGGATGGTGATGATCACGAAATTTTTTCTGTATCTTCCAATGAAATTAGCGTGTCCAGCGAGAAATTGGAGGAAGATGACGAGAAAATGGGTGATTTTCAATCTGCTCAAGTAAGTGTTAGCGAAGAATCATCAAATTTGCCTTGCAGTAAAGATGAAGATACTAAATTAGAATTAATGACTAGTGATGCTGATGAAGAACATTTAAATACCAGTTCTAATTTGAATACCGAACAACTGGTTGATTCCTCGTCACTTATTGTTGAGGAGGATTTGAATTTGAGTAAAAAATCTACAATTGCAGGTTCAGAAGATGTTTCTGATATGGATAGAAATAAAAATGTTACCTCTGTTACTGGTGATGATGATTCTAGTGAAAATAATGTTTCTTCTCCACCTGAGTCTGATAAGGATGGACAAATGGAGGAGGTTCAGATATTGGAGATGGAGAATTCGGACAATGGTCTGTCTAGCTGTAAAGATGATGTGGTGAGCACTGTTGGTGGTGGTGATGCCAGTTCTATAAGTGACATTTCGGAGCTTGTAGAAGAAAGAATTGGGCAGTTGGAGAGCGAGATGATTAGTAGAAGAGCTGAAAAGAAATCACGGCCTTCCATGAAGCCTCTTGAATTGGCAGAGGAACTCGAAAAGAAGCAGGCATCTACTGGTCTGCATTGGGAGGAGGGTGCGGCTGCTCAACCCATGAGGCTTGAAGGTGTCAGGAGAGGGTCAACCACGTTGGGATATTTTGATGTTAACGCCAATAACACTATTACGCAGACTATTGGATCCCAGGCATTTAGGCGTGATCATGGTTCCCCACAAATCTTGGCGGTGCATCTTAATTTTATTGCTATTGGAATGTCCAAAGGGGTCATTGTTGTTGTGCCCAGTAAATACTCTGCTCATCATCATGAAAATATGGATTCAAAGGTCTGCAAATCACTCAAACTGCTTTTGTTGTCATTTAGATGCATTTCATTGAATTTCTATTATCTTCAAATCTGTGCCGTCAGCTTAAAAATACACTACCATTGACCTGTTATGGGGAAAATGAAAATTATGGTGAAGAACTTTCAAAGAAAGTATTTAAATTGTATAAAGTAGTGTGTAGTAAAGCCTTTAGGCAGCCAAGGAGGGTTAATTTGTATTTACTCAATCAACGTCTAATCTGTAAAATTAACAGAAATAACTGAGTCCGAAAAGAAAAAATACTATGCTGGGACAAGTGGAAATTGTCTTGAATAGAACATTACAAAGTTTAATGATTTTTGATAGATGGTTTTGTCTCAGATCCACTTCTGATTATTCTACCACTTCTTATTGGCTTTTTAAAGAGAAATTTTCTTTAATGACTTTTTAGCACTTCTAAATAGTAGTAATTTTATACTTATGTCTTTGAGAACTAAAGGTGATTCCACCTAAGTGCTTGAAAGATTAAAATGGTCACCAAACTGTTATGTATATGTATTCTTTTTCCTAGTTATGCGTTTACTAAACTGTTCCTTCATTGCCTAAATCCCCACTTATTTTAGATGGAAAGTAGTACCTTTGTTTCTAATTATATTGTAGTTTAACTAAGTTCATCTTCGGACCTATACTATGTATATTTCAGATGGTTATGCTTGGTTTGCTTGGCGATCGATCTCATGCCTCAGTGACTTCCATGTGCTTCAACCAGCAAGGTGATCTGCTCTTAGCTGGTTATGGTGATGGTCATATTGTAGTTTGGGATGTACAGAAGGCATCTGCAGCGAAAGTTATTACTGGAGAGCACACTGCACCGGTAGTACATACATTATTTTTAGGGCAGGATTCTCAGGTCACTCGTCAATTTAAAGCAGTTACCGGTGATTGTAAGGGCCTGGTTCTGTTACATGCTTGCTCAGTGGTTCCCTTGCTTAATAGGTTCTCCATTAAAACTCAGGTAAGACATCATTCTTTTTAATAATGATGTATCTGTAATATTATATATACATTATTCAAAGTTGATACATGATAGGCAATGGTGATATGCCCCTCAAGTTTATAACTTAATGTTTGTTGATTAAATTAGTGTCTCCTTGATGGACAAAGAACGGGTGTAGTACTATCAGCTTCTCCTCTTCTTTTCGATGAATCTTGTGGAGGTGCTTTGCCATCCTCTCACTCTCAGGGAAACTCTGCGGCTACAACCAGCAGTATTGGTAGCATGATGGGAGGTGTCGTTGGGGCAGATGCAGGTTGGAAACTCTTCAATGAGGGGTCCTCTTTGGTTGAAGAAGGTGTGGTCATATTTGTCACCCATCAAACTGCACTGGTGGTATGAAATTCTCAGATGATTGCACAAATTCCATGTACCATTTATATTGTGATTGATGCTTTCTTCTTTGTGGACATGTTATTGTTCCCCATATGTTGAAGATATTTGTCTTCGTTACAGGTAAGGCTCACTCCCACTTTAGAAGTATATGCTCAACTTTCCAGGCCGGATGGGGTTCGGGAAGGTTCCATCCCGTACACTGCTTGGAAATGTATGATGCCATCTCGTGGTTCTTCAATGGGTATGGATTTTCTGAGTTTGTTTAAATTTTCATGTTGACAGTTTACTGAGAGATAAATGTGTTGCAGAAAGTACTTCTGCAGAAGCAGCAGAGAGAATATCGTTGCTTGCACTTGCTTGGGATCGGAAAGTTCAGGTTGCAAAGTTGGTCAAATCAGAGCTTAAAGTATATGGAAAGTGGTCCATTGACAGTGCAGCTGTGGGTGTTGCTTGGTTGGATGATCAGGTATCGTTACTTTTTTTTTTTTCTTGTCTTCTCTCACGTGCATAGTAAAATACTTGCTTCACTTTCATTGTTACGTTTTTGGCATTCTGCATACAGTTAAAGGATTCATGAAAATAAATTGCTGATTGTTGTTATATATCTTTGCAGATGCTTGTGGTTCTTACAGTGACAGGACAGCTCTATCTGTTTGCTAGAGACGGAACGGTAATTCACCAAACAAGTTTTTCTGTAGATGGTTCCAGAGGAGATGATCTAATTGGATATCATACCCACTTCATTAATGTTTTTGGGAACCCTGAGAAATCCTATCACAACTGTGTGGCTATAAGAGGAGCTTCTATATATGTACTTGGACCTATGCATCTTGTAGTTTCCCGCCTTCTTCCATGGAAGGAGCGGATTCAGGTTCTCCGAAAAGCAGGTGACTGGATGGGTGCCTTGAACATGGCTATTACGCTGTATGATGGTCAAGCTCATGGTGTTATTGACCTTCCTAGAACCCTGGATGCTGTACAGGAGGTCATAATGCCTTATTTGGTTGAGTTGTTACTATCCTATGTAGATGAAGTATTTTCTTATATATCAGTGGCATTTTGCAACCAAATCGAAAAACTGGAACAACTAAATGATACACAAAGTAGAAGCAGTTCTGTGCACACTGAAATAAAAGAGCAGTTCACCCGTGTTGGTGGAGTAGCAGTTGAGTTCTGTGTCCATATCAAAAGGATTGACATCCTTTTTGAAGAAATTTTCTCTAAATTTGTGGCTGTTCATCACAGAGGTATTCTCATTGCATCAATCTCTGCTTGCATTAATTGCTTTGATTGAACTTTATTTTAAGTTTATTGACTTCCTATCAGGGTTAATATATTTTTATGCAACATGCCAATTCATTTGATTCATTCAGTGACATGTAGTGATGACCTAACATGCGTAAAAGTTTTGTAATCAAATGTGAATGGGCTTAAAAACAAATCACCATTTGATGGCTATGTAGTACAAATTTAATTGCATCAAGCTTTTTTGCTCTACTCTGAAGTGGATTTCTATTCTTTTAGGGTCTCAAATTTCAGTCCTGAAGAAAATTATTTATGATTTTATATTAGAATACAACTATTGTTAATAAATGATATAATATTAATGGTGATTATGTTTGCTGTAGTGAAATAATTTGTGTTGACATGAGTTTCTTTTAATGATATGCTTTTTCATTCTAGATACATTTCTGGAGCTTTTGGAGCCATATATTTTGAAGGACATGCTTGGATCTCTACCTCCTGAGGTATTGGTTTAAAATATTACCCTTATTATCTGTTCAGTTACACATAGTAATTTATCTTATATTTCTTTTTTGTCAAAGATTATGCAAGCACTGGTAGAGCATTATAGCAGCAAAGGGTGGTTACAGCGAGTTGAACAATGTGTCCTTCATATGGACATTTCTTCTTTAGACTTCAATCAGGTCATATCACATCCATAGTTAACAATTATTTGTTAATCATTTCTGATTGAAAATCAAGCCTCAGTCTCCTTATGCTATACTTGAATATGATTTGTCTTGTAGGTTGTCAGGTTATGCCGGGATCATGCGCTGTACGGTGCTTTGGTGTATCTTTTCAACAAAGGATTGGATGATTTTCGGGCTCCTTTGGAGGAGCTGTTAGTAGTTTTACGAAATTGTCAAAGAGAGAATGCTGCTGCCCTTGGGTATGTTGCCACTATGCAAACCTGTGGTAGTAATTGAATTTGGAAACTTTCTGAGGATTTTCTGTTCTTGTTTAGCAGCTTTTATCTTTCAAATGTTTTTTCATTTCAATATTTGATATAGTTAGTGATTGCTTTAGGCAATGTGATATTGCCAGAAATTTATTACATGAGCGTTGCTGGGGGAGTAATTTAGTGTAAATATTCATTTGTGACTGAATTCAGCCATGCCAATTGAGTTTAAAGTGAAATTATTCAATTAAATCATGTTGGGAAGCTAACTCTCTAGGACTGTCATTACCCTAATTTTTACCTTTCAGCTAATTTTAGATGAAAAATGGACCACAGTGGATTAGAGTGAATTTGAATCAATCAATGGCTAAGCCTTCTGTCTTCTATAACATTAACCTGACCCCAGGAAATTGTATTTTGGTATGGTGACTTATCACTTGGACTTACGACACTGGTGTGGTGGAATTGTGAATACCCTGACATGATAACTGATCAAGTTTGCATGTGATTTCACCAAGGTTCAAAATTTCCCAAGAAAAGTATGAAAAGATTGTGGTTGGGTATGGGATTGTATGTATGATGTAGGATTTTATGAGTAGGTTGTTTATTTTGGGGTTTTTGACAAAGATGATAAAATAATTTATTTTACCCCTTATTGTACCAATTGTTAAATTTGTTAATTCAACTGTAATTCTATATGTATATTGTATCATCCTTTTTTTTTTTTTTTTTTTTTTTGGGCCAGGCCATGTTATGACTTGAAAGTGGTCATTTCCTATTTCTTGTTACAGGTACAGGATGCTTGTGTATCTGAAGTACTGCTTTCAAGGTCTTGCTTTTCCACCAGGTGTGATTTAATTTTTTACTGGTAGATGATAAATTGGACTGTCAAAAAAATTCCATTTATACACTAGAATTCATCTTAAAGATACATTAAAGCACCATATTCTTTATTTTCAGGACATGGAACTCTTCCTCCCACACGTTTGCCATCTCTTAGAAAAGAACTGATGCAGTTTTTATTAGAGGAATCCGATGCTCAGAATTCACAAGCAGCTTCAAGCTTATCTGTTGGAGGATTATATCTGAACCTGTATCATCTCTTGGAATTAGATACTGAAGCAACTTTAGATGTTCTGAGATGTGCTTTCAAAGAAGATGCAACTCCACTATCTGACATTGCTTCACATGATTCAGCTGACGCAAATATGGAGGCTGACAAGGAACAGAACTCAATGGATAAATGTCAGAATATGTTGGTTCAGAATACTGTAAATGCTCTTGTTCATGTTCTTGACAATGTTATCTCCCAAATAAATGGGCCTGCTGGAAATGATGATAGTGGATCAGTTGAAACATGGCCTTCACAGAAAGACATAGGTCATCTGTTTGAGTTCATTGCATACTATGTTGCATGTGGAAAAGCTAATGTCTCAAAAAGTGTATTGAGTCAGATTTTGCACTACTTGACATCAGAAAAGAATGCATCACCAAGTAATCCCACACATAGTGTTGAAACTTCTAGAAAAAGAGAAAAGCAGCTGCTAGCCCTACTGGAAGTAGTGCCTGAGACTGATTGGAATGCATCTGATGTGTTGCATTTATGTGAAAGTGCACAGTTTCACCAGGTATCTTTACCATGTGCCATCCCTATTATGTTATCATAGGCCGAGTTTTTTTTCCAACTATTGACAATATTGTTATTTTCAGGTTTGTGGCTTAATTCATACCATCAGACATCATTATCTTGCTGCTCTAGATAGCTATATGAAAGATTTTGATGAACCGATTCATGCCTTCTCTTTCATCAATGATAAATTAGTTCAGCTGACCGACAAAGAACGTGCTGCTTTCCGTTCAGCAGTCATCTCTCGGATTCCAGAGCTGGTTGGCTTAAGCCGGTAATGCCTTTTATTAATCTTAAGATTTATGGTTTGATCTTTGCCTCTCATGTTGACGAATGCTGAGAATTTTTCTTTATTTCTATTTCTGCTCTTATAAATCTCATGCCTTTGATCTTTTGCAGGGAGGGCACGTTCTTCTTAGTCATTGACCAATTCAGTAATGAAGCTTCACATATCCTCTCTGAACTTCGTTCACATCCAAAAAGTCTTTTCCTTTATTTGAAGACAGTTGTAGAGGTTCACTTATATGGAACCCTGAACTTATCCTATTTAAGAAAAGATGATGGTATAATTGTTGCTAATGGAAAAAGGGTGAAGTGTCATTCGAAAGGATTGGAGGCTTACATGGAAAGAATCTCTGATTTCCCTAAATTGCTGTGCAGTAACCCTGTTCATGTTACTGATGATATGATTGAGCTTTACTTGGAGGTAAGCTCTTGTATGTATATAACAATTGATTGAAGTAACATCTCTCTCTCTCTCTCTCCCATAATTAATGTGTGCATGGTCTCAGTTACATCGTATAGTCTTTCAAAGTTTTGTATTTGATCTTCTTCATTGTTGTTATTTAAATTTTACCTCATCAATTCTGTGGTGATACAGATCTTATTTTCTACTAACAAGGTATGCTAGAAGCACATATTGACTTCAGGAAAGCATTATTTTCATTATTTTGCCCTCAATTTTGCAGTTATTATGTCAGTATGAACGTGAATCAGTTCTCAAGTTTCTGGAAACTTTTGATAGCTATCGAGTGGAACACTGTTTACGCCTGTGCCAGGAATATGGGATCATAGATGCTGCTGCATTTTTATTGGAAAGGGTTGGTGATGTTATAGTATGTCAGTTTACTGAGAGATAAATGTGTTGCAGAAAGTACTTCTGCAGAAGCAGCAGAGAGAATATCGTTGCTTGCACTTGCTTGGGATCGGAAAGTTCAGGTTGCAAAGTTGGTCAAATCAGAGCTTAAAGTATATGGAAAGTGGTCCATTGACAGTGCAGCTGTGGGTGTTGCTTGGTTGGATGATCAGGTATCGTTACTTTTTTTTTTTTCTTGTCTTCTCTCACGTGCATAGTAAAATACTTGCTTCACTTTCATTGTTACGTTTTTGGCATTCTGCATACAGTTAAAGGATTCATGAAAATAAATTGCTGATTGTTGTTATATATCTTTGCAGATGCTTGTGGTTCTTACAGTGACAGGACAGCTCTATCTGTTTGCTAGAGACGGAACGGTAATTCACCAAACAAGTTTTTCTGTAGATGGTTCCAGAGGAGATGATCTAATTGGATATCATACCCACTTCATTAATGTTTTTGGGAACCCTGAGAAATCCTATCACAACTGTGTGGCTATAAGAGGAGCTTCTATATATGTACTTGGACCTATGCATCTTGTAGTTTCCCGCCTTCTTCCATGGAAGGAGCGGATTCAGGTTCTCCGAAAAGCAGGTGACTGGATGGGTGCCTTGAACATGGCTATTACGCTGTATGATGGTCAAGCTCATGGTGTTATTGACCTTCCTAGAACCCTGGATGCTGTACAGGAGGTCATAATGCCTTATTTGGTTGAGTTGTTACTATCCTATGTAGATGAAGTATTTTCTTATATATCAGTGGCATTTTGCAACCAAATCGAAAAACTGGAACAACTAAATGATACACAAAGTAGAAGCAGTTCTGTGCACACTGAAATAAAAGAGCAGTTCACCCGTGTTGGTGGAGTAGCAGTTGAGTTCTGTGTCCATATCAAAAGGATTGACATCCTTTTTGAAGAAATTTTCTCTAAATTTGTGGCTGTTCATCACAGAGGTATTCTCATTGCATCAATCTCTGCTTGCATTAATTGCTTTGATTGAACTTTATTTTAAGTTTATTGACTTCCTATCAGGGTTAATATATTTTTATGCAACATGCCAATTCATTTGATTCATTCAGTGACATGTAGTGATGACCTAACATGCGTAAAAGTTTTGTAATCAAATGTGAATGGGCTTAAAAACAAATCACCATTTGATGGCTATGTAGTACAAATTTAATTGCATCAAGCTTTTTTGCTCTACTCTGAAGTGGATTTCTATTCTTTTAGGGTCTCAAATTTCAGTCCTGAAGAAAATTATTTATGATTTTATATTAGAATACAACTATTGTTAATAAATGATATAATATTAATGGTGATTATGTTTGCTGTAGTGAAATAATTTGTGTTGACATGAGTTTCTTTTAATGATATGCTTTTTCATTCTAGATACATTTCTGGAGCTTTTGGAGCCATATATTTTGAAGGACATGCTTGGATCTCTACCTCCTGAGGTATTGGTTTAAAATATTACCCTTATTATCTGTTCAGTTACACATAGTAATTTATCTTATATTTCTTTTTTGTCAAAGATTATGCAAGCACTGGTAGAGCATTATAGCAGCAAAGGGTGGTTACAGCGAGTTGAACAATGTGTCCTTCATATGGACATTTCTTCTTTAGACTTCAATCAGGTCATATCACATCCATAGTTAACAATTATTTGTTAATCATTTCTGATTGAAAATCAAGCCTCAGTCTCCTTATGCTATACTTGAATATGATTTGTCTTGTAGGTTGTCAGGTTATGCCGGGATCATGCGCTGTACGGTGCTTTGGTGTATCTTTTCAACAAAGGATTGGATGATTTTCGGGCTCCTTTGGAGGAGCTGTTAGTAGTTTTACGAAATTGTCAAAGAGAGAATGCTGCTGCCCTTGGGTATGTTGCCACTATGCAAACCTGTGGTAGTAATTGAATTTGGAAACTTTCTGAGGATTTTCTGTTCTTGTTTAGCAGCTTTTATCTTTCAAATGTTTTTTCATTTCAATATTTGATATAGTTAGTGATTGCTTTAGGCAATGTGATATTGCCAGAAATTTATTACATGAGCGTTGCTGGGGGAGTAATTTAGTGTAAATATTCATTTGTGACTGAATTCAGCCATGCCAATTGAGTTTAAAGTGAAATTATTCAATTAAATCATGTTGGGAAGCTAACTCTCTAGGACTGTCATTACCCTAATTTTTACCTTTCAGCTAATTTTAGATGAAAAATGGACCACAGTGGATTAGAGTGAATTTGAATCAATCAATGGCTAAGCCTTCTGTCTTCTATAACATTAACCTGACCCCAGGAAATTGTATTTTGGTATGGTGACTTATCACTTGGACTTACGACACTGGTGTGGTGGAATTGTGAATACCCTGACATGATAACTGATCAAGTTTGCATGTGATTTCACCAAGGTTCAAAATTTCCCAAGAAAAGTATGAAAAGATTGTGGTTGGGTATGGGATTGTATGTATGATGTAGGATTTTATGAGTAGGTTGTTTATTTTGGGGTTTTTGACAAAGATGATAAAATAATTTATTTTACCCCTTATTGTACCAATTGTTAAATTTGTTAATTCAACTGTAATTCTATATGTATATTGTATCATCCTTTTTTTTTTTTTTTTTTTTTTTGGGCCAGGCCATGTTATGACTTGAAAGTGGTCATTTCCTATTTCTTGTTACAGGTACAGGATGCTTGTGTATCTGAAGTACTGCTTTCAAGGTCTTGCTTTTCCACCAGGTGTGATTTAATTTTTTACTGGTAGATGATAAATTGGACTGTCAAAAAAATTCCATTTATACACTAGAATTCATCTTAAAGATACATTAAAGCACCATATTCTTTATTTTCAGGACATGGAACTCTTCCTCCCACACGTTTGCCATCTCTTAGAAAAGAACTGATGCAGTTTTTATTAGAGGAATCCGATGCTCAGAATTCACAAGCAGCTTCAAGCTTATCTGTTGGAGGATTATATCTGAACCTGTATCATCTCTTGGAATTAGATACTGAAGCAACTTTAGATGTTCTGAGATGTGCTTTCAAAGAAGATGCAACTCCACTATCTGACATTGCTTCACATGATTCAGCTGACGCAAATATGGAGGCTGACAAGGAACAGAACTCAATGGATAAATGTCAGAATATGTTGGTTCAGAATACTGTAAATGCTCTTGTTCATGTTCTTGACAATGTTATCTCCCAAATAAATGGGCCTGCTGGAAATGATGATAGTGGATCAGTTGAAACATGGCCTTCACAGAAAGACATAGGTCATCTGTTTGAGTTCATTGCATACTATGTTGCATGTGGAAAAGCTAATGTCTCAAAAAGTGTATTGAGTCAGATTTTGCACTACTTGACATCAGAAAAGAATGCATCACCAAGTAATCCCACACATAGTGTTGAAACTTCTAGAAAAAGAGAAAAGCAGCTGCTAGCCCTACTGGAAGTAGTGCCTGAGACTGATTGGAATGCATCTGATGTGTTGCATTTATGTGAAAGTGCACAGTTTCACCAGGTATCTTTACCATGTGCCATCCCTATTATGTTATCATAGGCCGAGTTTTTTTTCCAACTATTGACAATATTGTTATTTTCAGGTTTGTGGCTTAATTCATACCATCAGACATCATTATCTTGCTGCTCTAGATAGCTATATGAAAGATTTTGATGAACCGATTCATGCCTTCTCTTTCATCAATGATAAATTAGTTCAGCTGACCGACAAAGAACGTGCTGCTTTCCGTTCAGCAGTCATCTCTCGGATTCCAGAGCTGGTTGGCTTAAGCCGGTAATGCCTTTTATTAATCTTAAGATTTATGGTTTGATCTTTGCCTCTCATGTTGACGAATGCTGAGAATTTTTCTTTATTTCTATTTCTGCTCTTATAAATCTCATGCCTTTGATCTTTTGCAGGGAGGGCACGTTCTTCTTAGTCATTGACCAATTCAGTAATGAAGCTTCACATATCCTCTCTGAACTTCGTTCACATCCAAAAAGTCTTTTCCTTTATTTGAAGACAGTTGTAGAGGTTCACTTATATGGAACCCTGAACTTATCCTATTTAAGAAAAGATGATGGTATAATTGTTGCTAATGGAAAAAGGGTGAAGTGTCATTCGAAAGGATTGGAGGCTTACATGGAAAGAATCTCTGATTTCCCTAAATTGCTGTGCAGTAACCCTGTTCATGTTACTGATGATATGATTGAGCTTTACTTGGAGGTAAGCTCTTGTATGTATATAACAATTGATTGAAGTAACATCTCTCTCTCTCTCTCTCCCATAATTAATGTGTGCATGGTCTCAGTTACATCGTATAGTCTTTCAAAGTTTTGTATTTGATCTTCTTCATTGTTGTTATTTAAATTTTACCTCATCAATTCTGTGGTGATACAGATCTTATTTTCTACTAACAAGGTATGCTAGAAGCACATATTGACTTCAGGAAAGCATTATTTTCATTATTTTGCCCTCAATTTTGCAGTTATTATGTCAGTATGAACGTGAATCAGTTCTCAAGTTTCTGGAAACTTTTGATAGCTATCGAGTGGAACACTGTTTACGCCTGTGCCAGGAATATGGGATCATAGATGCTGCTGCATTTTTATTGGAAAGGGTTGGTGATGTTGGAAGTGCTCTTTTACTTACACTTTCTGGGCTTGATGATAAATTTCTTAGGCTTGAAACTGCTGTGGGAAGTGCAGTTTCTAGGGTGGTTAAGGGATCAGTCAACATGGAGCATTTCAGCACAGTTTTAAATATGGAGGAGGTTTGTATAGTTTTATCCTCTGCATCAATTATTTACAAGGATACTTTTTATCTTTATGGTGATGGAGGGATTATTTGGCAAATTGACAATATATGTGATCTTTCTCGTACAGGTGAATGACGTACGCAATATATTGCACGCCTGTACTGGGTTGTGTCAGCGAAACACTCCCCGTTTGAATCCTGAGGAGTCAGAAACGCTCTGGTTTAAATTGCTTGATTCGTAAGTTCCAATCATTCATTTTCTTTCTAACGATATTTGGATTCTGCCATTCCATGTTTTACATGTTCTTTGTCTTGCGTAATAGATACATCTTTTATATTCATTAAGCCTCCTTTTATGTGTTCAATCCAGGTTGCTATTCTAATATAGTTTCAAATTAGTTTGCATGTACTCCATTGACTTCAGACTCTCAAATTACATATACTTCTTTCTCTTTCATATTTCAAAATCTAAAAATCACTGTGGCTGCATGTAAAAATAATCAATAGCATGATATTCATGATTATGTTAAACATATGCCATTGTTTCTAATATTTAATAGACTAATTCCTCACTTTTACCTGATAAAGTTATGATGGAAGGGATGAGATTGTGAAATTACTTTCTAGAAGACCCAAAGAGTAGAAAAAAACATAGAAACTGTGAAAGTGAACTGTGATATCATGGGATTAGGTTCTCATTGCATGTTGTGTGTTTGGTCTTCACAACAATTTTAAAGAGAATATTTGAGTTTCTGCTAGTTTTTTAATTTTCATTACAACAGTTACATTCTTGCTCTTCTAATAGCACTTGAACGTAATTTCACCAAGAAACTATTCTCCTGTTAGAAAATATGAGGGAACAGTTGTCATCTTTATATATACGTTGCACACTCATATCCATGCCAATTATATTTTGAGTTTAAATACAGGTTTTGTCGGCCTCTTATGGGTGATGAAAGGACATCTGAAGGAGAAAATGATTCAAAAATGCTGGAGGACCCATTGTGCTTGCAAGAGGGTGAAGAAGCGTGTATTATCAAGTGGAGAATTTCAAAGTCCCATAGGGGTGCGTATATCTTGAGAAAATTGTTCTCGCAGTTTATCAAAGAGATTGTTGAAGGAATGATAGGATATGTTCATCTTCCAACCATAATGTCAAAACTCCTCTCTGATAATGGTAGCCAGGAATTTGGTGACTTTAAACTTACCATACTTGGGATGCTGGGAACTTATAGTTTTGAAAGAAGAATTCTGGTATGTGCTCAAAATTTGGATTGTGTGCTTCTCGATAGGGTCTGTATTATGGATTTTTGTCTTGGGTATTCTTGTAACTAAGCTTATTAATGCAGCTCTGTGAGCTTTATATTTCAACAGGCATAATTATAGAATAAACGGATTCTTGATTTGGACTTTTGATTTCCAAGTATGACCATTTGTATGTCTAGTAATAATAGTAATAAAGCCGCCAAAGACTAACATGGTTCATTGCATTGTGTGTAGCTGCCATACATAGTTTAGTTCTAGATATAAGTCAAATCTATGAGATTATTTTATTACTGAAACACATGCATCCTAAGGACTCTGATTCACGGTGACATTTGTATTTCAATTCTAGACCTTTTTTGGGATGAGTAATTTTTTTTTGCTTTTCCCCTTTAAAGTTGGGATTGATTGTGTGATTGATTTGAATGTTTCTCTACCATGAACTGCAAAATAAGCAACTGGCAACTGATTAAAATTTTTTACTTTGTTCTTTCAGGATACTGCCAAGTCCTTGATAGAGGATGATACATTCTATACCATGAGCGTACTCAAGAGGGATGCCTCTCATGGCTACGCCCCTCGGAGTTTATTTTGTTGTATCTGTAACTGTCTTCTCACAAAGAATTCTTCTAGTTTCCGCATTCGAGTGTTTAATTGTGGTCATGCAACTCATATTCAATGCGAACTTTTGGAAAATGAATCATCAAGTAGAGGGTCCTTATCTGGATGCCCTCTTTGTATGCCTAAGAAGAATACTCAGAGGTCTAGAAACAAATCAGTTGTTGCCGAGAATGGTCTGGTGAGTAAGTTTTCATCAAGAACCCAGCCAGCATCAGGAACTACACTACACTTGCATGAAAGTGATACATTTGAGAACCCCTATGGAATTCAGCTATTATCACGGGTAAATTGAAAAAAATTATCTGTTGTTTTGATTTCTTACCCTTGCCAGTGATTGATAGTTTAATCAAACTGAGCTTAAATGTTGCAGTTTGATATCTTAAACAATCTTCAAAAGGACCAGAGATTAGCGCAGATAGAAAACATGCCTCAGCTAAGGCTTGCTCCACCAGCTATTTATCATGAAAAGGTGAAAAAAGGAACTGATCTTTTAACCGGAGAAAGTAGCAGTGCTCTTGCAAAAATAGAAAAACCAAGTAAAAATAGTCAAATCAGGGACCTAAAATTGAAGGGATCTTCTCTTCGGTTCCCTCTAAAGTCAAGTATATTTGGTGAGTTTCGTAATTACTTATTAAATTAGTTCAATATTTGTGGTGCTCCTTTAATAACAAATTGTAATTGTTTTTTTTCAGGCAAGGAAAGGACAAGCAGGCGGTGACACAATGGATGTGTATAGACTAACAATACCAGAGAATGAATCCCACCAGGGCTTCTCAATAGTTGATGAGTATATTTTTATTTGCAGAGCGTTGATGTGATGAGATACATGTTAATAAAATCTACATGGGCTGAGTTCTTAGTGTTTCCCTTGAGGATTTTTTTCACTTAGAAATATTTTGGTAGAAGTCCATTACCTTGTTTCGCGGCTCCTAGCGACAGTTCAGTTTTATGTCTGTAACTTCTGTAATTAATGTGTAAATACTAAATACAATGACATATAATACTACACATAGAGGTAATTGATCATGGCTGATTTTAAATTAAAAATAAATTTTTACCTAATTATCTTATATCACATCACGTTATTGTATGTGTAGTATTACTTGTACAATAACACTTGTGTAGAGAAGGTTTTTGTAATGAAATTGTATAGTATGCGTTTGGTTTAATATTTTTATCCCTATTCTGGATCCTATTTTTCAAATAGCGTTTGGTACAATATTCTCAAAATATTACCCTATTTTTTTAATTACTTTTAACCCCATAAGGTTATTAATTTCACTAAATACCCCCTAAAAAAAGTTTAAAAATTAACAAAAACACCCCTATCAACCCAACTTGTCAGATTCCGGCAACCACCGTCGGTGATAGCCGGAATCTGTACAACGGCCAAACTTCCGACCAGAAATGGCCGAAAGTTCACCGCTGTGGCCTTTTCCGGCCAGATCCACCACGGATCTGGCCGGAAAAGGCCAGATCTGGCCGTCAGCGACGGCCAAAGAAATGTCCGTCGTTTGGCCTTTTCCGGCGGTCGACGGCCAAAACAAACAGTAGATCTGGCCTTTTCCGGCCAGATCCACCATGGATCTAGCCGGAAAAGGCCATAACGACGTGTTACGGCACAGATCCGACAAGTCTGTGCCGTGACGAAATTTTCTGGCCAGATTCCGACGGTGGTGGCCGGAATCTGACACTGCAGATGGTGGGGGTGTTTTGTCATTTTACATGTTAGGGTCTTTAGTTAAATTAGTAAACCTAAGGGCTTTTTTTAAATTTTTAAAATTTACCTCGTAATACTCCCATATCTAATAACCCAATACTACCCCTAAAATCCTATCCAAAATACTAAACCAAACGCACCCATAATTACTCCGAATAATTTGACGCTGGCAGCAGACATATATTCATGAGTAGCGCAAAGCATTCATAAATTTTGATGTTATTCATTCCTATTATAATAAAATTCTTAAGAAATATATTAAAGACTTTATAGTCTCGATGAAAAAGGCCTCAATGGCTCAACCTCATCCAGATCCACGTAAGAAGTCATGTCTGTACCCGTGGTCCACACGTACCCCGAAAGACATTTCACATGTTAAGCAATAGCCATATGCTTCCTTATATTACATCTCACATGCTTAACCATTTCTTACTTTAATACTCCCTTCAATTGGAGCCATTCTTATCACTCAGCATGTACCATCATACTTATATTAAATTTATCTTTTCCTTAAAAAACAGTATTAACTCATTAAAATACAATATAATGTATACATGATATAATGCTCCACCTTCAAGTATTCTTTTATATCAATACTCAATAACATTGATTATCGTATATTCAACTGGATTTTTTTTGGCACTAATCTTATAATATAATGTTTAAGATGGATCTTAACTCAAGCACCAAAAGAATTATAAACATTTGAGTTCCCTTAACAATAGTGGGAAGATAAAGGACACAAAAGTAAAACAAAAAATCCAAGGGGGTCTTCGGAGAAAATGAAAAACGGCATCGTCTACACTTTCAAAGATCCAACAAAAAATGACGGCATTGAAAGCACGTGAGTATGGGGAGAGCAACGCCGATCACAAGTCATAACTGACTTTGCAAAGTAAGCAACCCAATTAGTGTGTGTAGTTAAGAGTTGGGTGGCCTTCCTGGCTTTCATTCTTCAAATCGATTATTTCGAAGCTTTTCTCCCTCGTTCCCTCCGCCTCTTCATTCGTTACTTATATTTACCTTCTCCCTTTCTTCAATCTCTCTGCTCCTGGATTAACATTTCAATAATGGCTACGGCTTACTCTCCCACCAATTTTGTTAATCCTTTATCTATTAACACTAGATCTCATGACAAACCCCTCTTTGATCCTCTCAAAACCACTACTTCTTTTCTTGGATCTACTCACAAACTTCGACCTACTTCTCTTCAATTTAATCAACCTGATACTCACCGTCGATCTGCTGTTGTTGCTGTCTCTGATGTTGTTAAGGAGAAGAAGGTCAAGTCTAGTTCAAACCTGGTAACCAATTTCACTCTCTTTATTTGATGTCACTCTCATTGTTCTCTCTATATTCTTTTAGTTGCTTTAATACTTTGTTTTGTTGTGTTTTTGGTTGCTAAGGGAGCTGAGGAATGGAATTGATTTTCTTTGTTGTTGGAAGATTTCTATTTTTTTTTTTCCCTGTGTTATTGAAATTCGTTGGTTGATTAAATTGAGAACATATTCTCATTGCATTATTTATGATATTGAAATTTTGATTTATGTCTCTTTGATTAGATGTTACTGCAAATACCTGGCTCCTGATTCAATTCTAAATTTACATTTAAAGCGAAATATGTACTTAATTTGCTTAATATAATTGAACATAAACACCATAATTTATACGCTTATTGAGAAGTTCTTTACTTGTAAGCAATTATAATATGAAAATCATGAAAAATCTAGGCTAAGAGTATTGCTTTAATTTGGTTTGAGTTTTCAGCTGATCACAAAAGAGGAAGGATTAGAGATATATGAAGATATGATTCTTGGTAGGGCTTTTGAGGACATGTGCGCCCAGATGTACTACAGAGGCAAAATGTTCGGTTTCGTTCACCTCTACAATGGCCAAGAGGCTGTGTCAACTGGTTTTATTAGGCTTTTGAAGAAGGAGGATTCTGTGGTGAGCACATATCGTGATCACGTGCATGCCCTGAGTAAGGGAGTCCCAGCTCGTGAAGTGATGAGTGAGCTCTTTGGAAGGACCACCGGATGCTGCAGAGGCCAAGGTGGATCTATGCACATGTTCTCTAAGGAACACAATTTGCTTGGTGGGTTTGCGTTTATTGGTGAGGGAATTCCAGTTGCTACAGGTGCAGCCTTCTCCTCCAAGTATAGGAGGGAGGTGTTGAAGGAGGCAGATTGTGATCATGTGACATTGGCATTTTTCGGTGATGGAACTTGTAACAACGGGCAGTTCTTTGAGTGCTTGAACATGGCAGCATTGTGGAAGTTGCCTATTGTGTTTGTTGTGGAGAATAACTTATGGGCAATTGGAATGTCACATTTGAGGGCAACTTCAGATCCTCAAATTTATAAGAAGGGACCGGCATTTGGGATGCCTGGTGTTCATGTTGAAGGGATGGATGTTCTGAAGGTGAGGGAAGTAGCCCAGGAGGCAATTGGAAGAGCTAGGAGAGGCGAAGGGCCAACTTTGGTGGAATGTGAGACATACAGATTTAGAGGGCATTCATTGGCTGACCCTGATGAGCTTCGTGACCCTGGTAAGCAGTTGAATATAGTTCTGCAGTTTTGGCTTTCTGTTTATTTTCCCTAGGTTGTCTATAATGGTTTGATATTTTCCTTGTGCCTTTGAACTGATGCCCTCTTGCTTATATTTATAACCTTTCTATCCCACTTATACTCTGTTTCTACCTTCAGTCGTCAGTTGCATTTGTTGTTTTTCTTGGACATGCGTTATTATCCTGGCTGAATTGTTCGTTTTGGTATATGGATGAGCATTACTTATAATAGCTTCTTGTACATGATGTGGAAGTGCTAATTGGGATACATTGTTGGTTGGGTCTTTAAGAACTTTAGTTTTTTTCTGGTAGGTTAGAGTGTGTCAAGTAGCAGCTAGGTTACTGTCAGCAAATATAAAGTTTTTTCTGGTCTTTTTTTGTGTCAAATCTGAAGATGGAGTTAAAAGGGTTTCTCAGGACATAAGCTGTTGGCATTTTGAAGGGGACTGATTTGAGAAATATAATATTAGCTATTTTGGGGGGGCTGATTTGAGAAATATATATTTCCGACTTCATCTGGTAGCATTTGAGAGGACTGGTTTGAGAAATATAATTTTCCATGTTTCGTCATCCATCTGTGTTAGATTTTTCTGACTTGTGAGTTCATGAAAGTCGGTCCGAGATCAAGCAGGAATATCATGTTTCTGTTTAACCATGCCTTGGATTTGCGTGGTTATGCAACTAAGTTTGTTGCCCTTTTCTTTTTTTTTCTTTTTTTTTTTTTCATTTATTAGGAAACAACTTGTTGCCTTGGTTATTTTGTTTATTTGACTTATTTTTTTGTTCTAATTGATCTTGCTCTCAAATCCTGTGTTCTTATTTGGCAGATGAGAAGGCTCGCTATGCTGCTAGGGATCCTATCACAGCATTGAAGAAACACTTGATTGAGAGCAAGCTAGCAAATGAAGCAGAGTTAAAGGCCATAGAGAAGAAGATTGAGGAGGTGGTTGAGGATGCAGTTGAGTTTGCAGATGCAAGTCCTCATCCAGCTCGTAGCCAGCTGCTTGAGAATGTATTTGCAGATCCAAAAGGTTTTGGTATTGGACCTGATGGGCGTTATAGATGTGAGGATCCCAAATTCACTGAGGGCACTGCTCATGTCTAACCTTTTAAATTTGAACATTCATCAATCTAGTTATGCTGGCTTTTAATGTAAGATTGCTTGTTTTATATTTAATTACTGTTAGTATTCACATGTGCACTTGCTGAAATGTAGTACTTATGTAAGCATGATCTGTTCTTTAGGTTGCTTTTCTTTGTTAAAGTTTTGAATTTGTCATCTTGATATCATTGTTTCCTGGACTAGTGTTTCAAATGTCAAACCCGAAGGGCTAATTTTCGTTTAGTCCTGTTCTGTGAAGGGATAACAGCTTAAAATTTGCATTTTCTTGTCTTTTAGAATTCCATTGACAAAATTGATATTGCAAATTAACACGTTGATGTTAGTTGACGCGCTGTTCCTGAAATTAACAAAAGCAGTAAGACATTTGGGAGTTCCTTCAGGATAAAATAAACGTCTAACACAAGTTGGACTTGATATTTTACCCTCCCATATCCAATGCACAAAACACATATTCATTAAATTTTTTTCAACTGAAGGATAGTTCGGCACAATACAAGAATCCATTATTAGGCCATGACACATTGAGCTAAATTCTTTGCAACATACAGTAAATGAAAATCTAAGAAATCAATAAATTTAATATCCTTCCACGACCAAGGAATACACATCAAAGTTCAAACTACCAGTGACATTTCTGTTCCACTCATAATTTCCTTTGATGACAATATAATCAAATCAGCAACCATTTAGCAAGATCAAATTTCCTCATTGATTGCGTCTTCCAAGTTCTAAGCACTGGTTGGGAGGTTCAAAATTGGACAATCAATAAATTTGAGGTGGTGCCACTGAGAAAACTCGTAAGAAATTAAAAAAACAAAAAACGTAAGAATTAGCCAAGATGTCTATAGGGTGGTATATGGTATGTATTTGCTTCTTACACTGACAGGGAAAAGAATAGAAGATTGTGAAAATGGGAAGCTTAGGACCTAAATAGACCAGATTACAACTTCAGAGCAGCTATTGCCTCTGGTTTAAAATCAACCCTTAGACCAAGAACTCGCCTAACCTCAGCTGGGGTTAGTCTCCAAGTCATAGGTCCAGAGTTCTCACCCCAGAAATCTAGAATCTCAGATACCTTTTCCAAGTTGAGAATTGTTGCCATTTGAGTAAGGCGAGCAAACTTGTCTCTAACGGTTCTCTGAGTCATGCTAGAGAAATGGCCTACCAGAGCCCTAGCATCTCTGTCAAGCTGCAGACCACCAAGTTGACTGAACCTTTTCTGCATCATAATCACCTCAAGCCTCTTAACAATGAAATCAATGATCAAGTGAACAAATGTGTCATAGTTGTTGACAGTCATCAGTGGCTGGAGCCATGCTGCATTTGTCTCAACGGCATGGAGAAGCCTCTGAACCCATGGATCATTAACTTCATTATCAGCATACTCAGCCTCTGATAGCTCATAGCTGATGGTTGCAACACTGTCTAAAACTGGACGAATTCGGGGTGTTACAGTTGCCACAAGTTGTTCCATGCCAATACTCAGGGCTTGCTTGAAAGTTTTGCTCAAATCGGCCAACTCAGATAAACAGGACTTAACCTTTTCCCTATCAGCAGGAGCAGGGAATACCTGAAGAAAATGATTGCTATTATTCTAATCCTTAAATATCATAACAAACAAGAAAAACCAAAAAGAAAAAAGAAAGCCCAATCATCGGAAGGCATTCAAGGGTATGATCACATGAATAAAAATTGACACAATTATATCTGAAACCTATCATTAAAAAGAGGCAGTGTTCACAGGTAGAGGAAGGAGAAAGTTATTGGGTTTTGATCGCTTAATCAGCTCGAGTTTTAGGATGACACATCTAAGACATTCCCATGCCTGACATAGCAGGCTGAGACATTATATAAGATTTCTTCTACATTAGAACTAACAAACAAATAAACAATAACATACTCTTTCATCAAGAACAATAAGAAAGTGATCAGAGATTCAAAGGAAAGATTCTCTAGTATTACTAATCAACTGTCCTAGTGAGACAAATTCATTATTTCACCATTAAAAGAGTGTCCGAATCGTCATGACTATCCAAATCTACATATTAAGTTTCATAAAATGGAAATACAAAAATGTTGGTTCCAGGTTGCATTTTCCTTCATTCACAGTCATATGTTCTCCCTGCTCATGACTAAATGGACGAAACTGGGAAGTAGTTCCCCTGCTCACTAATAAGTGACAAAACTGGGAGGCATTTACCAAAATATCAAAGGAGAAACATGCAATGCCGATTTCGATCAGGTTTCCATCCACTTTTTCTTTTATTATATTTTTTTCCTGTTTTGGAGACAGTGTTCATGGATTGCAGTTACAAAAGTGTCTTATTGTATAAACTTAAATTTTATTTAGTTCAACTGACACATGATAGGAAGACATATATGAAGTATTGTTGCAAGCCTTCCAAACTCTAAGTGCATGTGTATGAATATAAAATTACGAAATATATACTCTAACTTGTAATGCAACAAGTAATTAACCACAGGCAAGTCAACATTTTCTTTTTAAAATCAGATCACGCAAGTTAACATTCAAAACATAAGCCAGAACATAAAAGCAAGTACGCCACTCACCTCTGCACATTTCTCTTCAATCTCATGCTTTAGTTTCAGGACATACTCACTACTCACATCAATATTATTCAAAGCTGTTGCAATCTCTGTCCCAGTCTTCTGCACACCGACACCACCCAAGAACAATTTTGCCCCAAGGTTTGGCTCCCTTGTTTTCTGCTGCAATGCCTCATGGTATTCATTGCTTAACAAACTAGTTGCACCACTCAAGACAGCAATCAGAGAGCTGATATTTGAAGTGGATATTGCCCTTCTCAAACAACTCTGAATAACATAAAAAGTATCATCCACCATAGATGTGGTAAGGCTATCGCTTGCAGGCTCATCAATCCTAATAGCTTTCCTCACATTCTCCACCATAAAGAATCCCTCAAAAATCACATAAAACCCAGTAATATCTTGCAAAACCTTGTTAAAACTTCCACTCCTAAAAGCCTTAGTAGCTCGTGGCACTAACTCCGGATCCACAGAGCTCAAACTCTTAATCTTAGACACCATAAATTCAGTATAATCCTCACCCAATTGCATCAATGACAAAATTTCTTCTAGATACAACTCAACCTCTCTCGGATCAGGACCTTCAGTCACACCCACGGTTAGTAAATTCATATTCTGAGCATTAATATCAGACGATATCTTAGCCAATTTTCTATACTCCATATATTTCCTCAAAATCATACCCCCCCTTGAATCACACTCCTCTTGTAACTCACATACAGCATAAACAATCCCATCCTCTCCACACAAACCCCTCAAAATCCCATCATTTTCCTCAATAGCAAGCACAATATCCTTAAACAAATTAGTCAAACAAGAAATAAAATCAACTTTAGTTTCATCTTGACTCTGCTCTATCAACTCCACCAAATTATCATATTCCATCCTCGATCTCATCCCTATAACTTTCTTCAAATACCCTACATACACTTGTAATCCCTCTTCTTCTATTCCTAACGGTGAATAAAGCTTTATAAATCTTAAAATCGTACCGTGATCTCTCTGATCCACTGCCGCTACCACACGCTTCTTAACGATTGCTTCCAATTGCTTTTTCGCCGCCATTAATTGTTCTCTCTGCTCAGATCCTGAGTCCTTGTACTTGCCATCAATTTCAATAAACCTTTGCACATAATTGGCCGCCGCTTCGAAGTTCTCTTCATCCATAGCGGTTCTAACGCCGTCTAAACAGTTGTTCCGTTCCACGATAGCATCAATGCGAAGGAGAGTGTCATTGACGCGAGACTGAGCCAAGTCTAGCTCTCGGACTTTGCCGCTAACTTGATCAGCAAGATCACTGGTGGAGCGGACGTTAGAGAGCATGTGATCCGAATCAGCCTTCACTATGTCCAGCACCTCAGCGGATTTCTGGAGTTGGAGAAGGTGCTTGTCGATGTCACTGCGCTGTGAGAGGAGGTTGTCGAGATCGACGTCAAGCGCCCGTTGGTAAGCGATGCACTCGTGGAGTAGACGCGTCATGGCGCCTACGTCTGTTAGAGTGCGGACATAGGCTAGGGCCTCCGATGTTCCGAATTTCACAGACGACGGTAGAGCTGTCTCCTCATTGTGTTGCTCTTCCGACGATACCCTTGGAGTCGACGACATCTCAATGCGTAATTCTGGAATTCAGATCAGGTCTCACCTCACACTTAAATTCGAGAAGATTAAGTTGTAAGCAAACCAATAGTTAACCGTCTTTCTAATTCAATTACCGTTGCTTCATTTTACATAAAAATTCCTAATCACAACGGTTAAATTCCATAGTTCTACTCCTCACTTCTTATTTTTATTTTCCTAATCATATTGTATATTAAAAAAAAAAATTAAAAATTGTTATAAATATCATATATCAACTTTATAGTATATAATGTTTTGGAAATAATAACTTAAACCATTCTTAAACGTTATGCAATAAGTTAATGCTTTGATTTTATTTGAAACTGGTATTTGTTTTAATTTTTCTTTCAATGAAAATTATTAAATGCTTCCCTGTTTATTATAACATGATAAATCACAATTTTATCTCATTTAAATAAGGAACAAGGGTTGTTCAAAAAATAGTAATGTTGCATATATAAGATTGAGATGTATCCCCAATACAAAGTTGAAATCCCAACTTTGTAATTTATATTTTTAACCTTGTTGTTAGAAAATTTATTTACCGTTACTAAATCTTAAGAAATATGAAATATTTACTTTTTCAGTGCTCTTAGCCTCTTCCTATGATTAAACAATCCTCTTCAGATAGTTGATCCAACCCAATGATAATTGTAATGTATTGAAGATCTTTGTAAGGATGAAAATTTTGGTTAATTCTTTGAGATTTTGCTTCCTTTTCCCTAAGGTTACACAAAAATAATAACGTCATATAGCCGGTTATTGTAATCGGTTGTCCCAAAAATTTGAATAAAAATATGGGTGCGTTTAGTTCAATATTTCTACCCATTTTCTCAATTCTATTTCCCAAATATTGTTTGGCACATTATTTGAGAAATATTAGTGTATTTTTTTAATTACTTTTAGTCCCCTTAAGTTTATTAATATCATTAAATACCCCCAGAAAAAAAGTTTGAAAATGAACAAAAACACCCTCACTCACCCGTACTTGCCAGATTCCGGCAACCACCGTCGGTGGTAGCCGAAATCTATCACAACGGCTTACACCACAATCAGAAATGACCGGCTATTCACTGATCTAACCTTTTCCGGCCAGATCCACTATGGATCTGGCCGTCGCTGATGGCCAAAGATGAATCTTTGCAGTAGTTGACGGCCACATCTGGCCGTAGATCTGGCATTTTCCGACCAAATCAGTGGTGGATTTGGCCGAAAAAGGTCATATCGACGCGTTACGACACGAATCCGACCGGTCTATGTCGTAACGCAATTTTTTGGCCAGATTCCGACGGTGGTGGCTGGAATCTGGCATTGCAGGTGGTAGGGGTGTTTTTATCATTTTACACAATTTTAATATATTGGAGTGTTTAATTAAATTAGCAAACCTATGGGGTTTTTTTATAAATTTTTAAATTTTACCTAGTAATACTCTCCTATTCAACTACCTAATATTATTCCCAAAATCTTATCCAAAATAATAAACCAAATGCACCCAATTAATAAAAAATGAAATTTTAAATTTAATTAGTACAACTCAAACATAAAAAGTTCCAAAGTTTAATGTTAAAAATTTCAAATATAACGTTATTAACGTCTTAATCTTATAATTTTCTTTTCTAATGTTTATGGTTTCATATATCATATTATGATTTTTACATATATTGGTTGAAGTTTCAAATATTATTTAATACTATTTATAGGTTTCATATGGGTTGTTGTAAGCATCAAACTTAATAATCTAAGTTTCAAGTAAAGTAATTTCAAGTTATACATACATTATCAGTTTCATGTATATTGTTCCAAGTTTCAAATACTATTTATAGGTATTAATCAATGTAAAAGGTTTTCAAGTTTTTATTATAATTTTAGTTGAAATAATATTCTACCGTTAGATAATTTTCTAGGAAATCAAACAACTTCTCTTTTTCTGCATATTATTAGGTTAAACGTAACATAGTACTACCCTCACCAACAATAAAAGTTTGGAGCATAGCCAAGTCTAAAGGGGTATCACTTTATAAGTTAATTGATTCTACGTGAATCATTTGTTTATTTTAATTAAACGAATCAAAATTAACTAATAATTATAGTGATGTTACACTTATTAAATACATATTCTTAATTTTATATTTTAAATAATATTCATTTATTATATTTTTGAGATATTTATTTCATAAGTGTAATATTATTTCTTTAATTTATTTATAATATTTGAATTTGACGAAATTAACTGATGAGTTGCATTTGTTTCACAATTTTTCCAGTTCTATTCTCTATCATATCCAATTTGGATTTGGGGCAGGCCAAGTAAGACGATATTGACCCGTTAGTAAAAAATGGTAAGCGGTAACCATATCCAATCCAATCCAAAGTTGTGAACTTGGGTTGGAAGCACGCTCGTTTTCTCCATGGCTGCTTCTACTGGTTTCTTAACACCCTGTCCATCCTCTCTTTTTCCGAAAATTACTAATGCCACAGTACCAAAACGATTTATACCATACGCCCACTCGCAACCCTTGTTTAATTTTCGCTACCCCAAACTCTCATGCTTGCCTCTGTGTTCCCCAACTAGGTTTAGCGCAGTCTTAGCGGCGGTAGATGAGGAAGCAGTGGCGGTTGAGGATAATGTGGACGAAAACGAAGAAGACGTCGACGTTTCAGTTCATGAATCAAAGAACCGAGCAAGACCAAGTGAATTATATGTGTGTAACTTGCCGCGGAGCTATGACATTTCAGAGCTTGTCGAGATGTTTAAGCCTTTTGGAACTGTTATTTCCGTTGAGGTTCGATTACTAGTATTAAAATCTTTAGTTTTTAAACAAATATCAATCAGATAGTAAATCAAGAGAATAAATTTATACCTGTATGTTTGTGTGGGGTTAACAGTAGTTCAGTTATTTGATAGATTTTGGCTTATGTTTGGTAACTAAATTGTAGGTATCACGGAGTCCTGACACGGGTATAAGTCGAGGCTGTGGTTATGTGACAATGGCAACTATAAATTCAGCAAAAAATGCTATTGCAGCATTGGATGGATCTGTTAGTTTTAAGCTAGAAACCCCTTTTAATTTAATTCATTGTACACTTTTTTTAGTACTTTGGGCTGAGCTTCTTTGCTGTTTTGAAGGACGTGGGTGGACGTGAAATGCGGGTTAGATTTTCAGTTGATATGAGTATTGGAAAGAGGAATACTGAGTCACTGAATTCAACACCCAGGAAGATCTTTATATATGAAAGCCCTCATAGATTGTATGTTGGCAATCTTGCCTGGGTGGTAAAACCTGAGGATTTGAGGGAACATTTTAGTCAGTTTGGGACTGTGGTCAGTGCAAGAGTGTTGCATGATCGTAAAGAAGGAAAAAACCGTGTTTTTGCATTTCTTTCCTTCGCTTCAGCAGCAGAACGTGATGCTGCATTCGCTTTAAATGGAACAGTTTAGTCCAATAACATTGCATTTCGAATCAGATTATTTTATTGCAATTTTTTACTGTAGCTTATTCAAATTCCGTTTGCAGAATTTTCGAGGTCGGACATTAATCGTGAGAAAAGGTGTTGAAAGAACTGAACCTTGACTGTAGCTGTGATTGGTAGATTTTGATGAAGAAATTTAGTTTATCAACTGAAAAGGGAATTAACTTGGAGCATCCTCCTTGGCTGAAATGTGTAGTCAGAAGAGCGGGTATTTAGAATTACCAGAATTCAAAATCTTTTATCTTACGGCTCCGTTTGGGGATTTTCTAAGTTTATTTCATATGTCAACTTCCACATTAAAAATTTTGATGAGAAGCTGTTCCAATATATTGGTTGCTTTGATCAGGGTTAATTTTTAATACGTATTCTAGTTTGATTAGTATATTTGATGTATTATGTTTTATATTTGTTGTCTCCAGAGTTCGATTTCAAAATTCTCTTGTTGTGAACTCCATGTGCCATTTTCCTGCGTATGGCTTATTTTATTGCTGGTCTGTTGCAATATTCAATGTATGAATGTTATGGTCAAATAATGAGGTTTTTTCATATGACTGATTTCAGGATGGTTTAGGAAATGATGAAACAAACGAATTTGGAACTTGTAGCTCGTGAATCACTATATATAATGTGTCAAATTAGAAAACAACTAGATTTGAACTTGCTAATGAACTTGATCAGGGTCTGGCTGGACTAAGTAAATGACTGGGAATTTCGTAAGTTGGCTGATGTATTTAGATAACCGTTTTGTTATATCAACTTAAACACTGTTACAGATGTTATTATTGAAGGATCCAATATCATATTTTGCTTATGAACCTCCATACATTTGTGCATAAAAATCACTTTTAGATGTAAAAGGTCCTCACCATTGGCTTTTTTTTTTGTTTCAAACGAAAAAACAGTGACGTGATATATACTAATGTCCTATGTTTTGCTTGCAAGTGATGCTATGTTTTTTGTGGCTTATAAGTTATAATCCACCTTAAGATAATGATCATGTGATGAGATGAGAGCTTCCCCCCCATCATAATTCCAGGCATTTTCAGCTCAAAATGAAGACTGGAAATGCAGAATTCTGAACTTAATACCTTAAATTGACAAGAATATCATACTTTTAATTTAGTCTAGTTCTCTTAACGGATCAAAGATGTCTATTCTACATAAAACTAGTTAACACTAAAGTTAAAGGGACATGGGTTATTCGTTTGCAAAAAGAAAAAGATACAGGAAGGGCTCGTTTGTGATGGAGAACTAGGCATACCAAAAACAAATGTCATTTTGATGGACATTCTACTTAGTTTGAGATTGATTGAAGTTGCAGTCATCTAGCTGATTCTAACAGCAGTTAATGGAAATCCCAACTCTAGGATCCTCATACTAGTTAGTTACATGAGGAACATACATACAAAACAAAAATGCGGAAGAAGATCAATGTAGAAATGAAAAAGAATGGATCTCTTCAAATATTAATGTTAAAAGTTTCAAATATAACGTTAGTAACGTCTTAATCTTATAATTTATTTATCTAATGTTTATGGTTTCATTTCATGTATCATATTATGATTTTTGCGTAAATCGATTTAAGTTTCAAATATTATTTAATACTATTTATAGGTTTCATGTGGGTTGTTGTAAGCATCAAACACAATATTTTTAGTTTCAAATTATACTTGCATTATCAGTTTCGTGTATATTGTTCTAGGTTTCAATTTCAAATACTATTTATAGGTATTAATCAATGTAAAAGGTTTTAAGTGTGATGTTATAATTTTCAAAAGAAATATTTTTCGCATCAAATCATTTAGATTTCAAGTTATATATTACTGGTTTCACATTTTATATTATATATTTCAGGTATACTATCCATAGTTATCAAGTATTGTTTATAGCTTTCAAATTCATGTTAAAGGTTTCAAGTATTGCGTTGTCAATTTAAAAAATTGCATCATTAATATCAAGTACCTAGTTCAACTACAACATTAATAATTTCAAATTTTATATTACAATAAAGATTACCTTACAATTCAATCTCACAAACTTTCTGTCACATCTCCTACGTAGTAGCTTTTTTGCTAGGAGCTATCACTTAGGGGTTGTGAGATTGAGTTATAAATGTAATATTGTCTTAAATCTTAACCCTAGTTAGTAAATACGGGTACGGCAAAAAAACAGTACTGGAATTTTACGGGTATTATACGGTAAATGATGAAAAATATGTTTGTAAAAATTTGGTCATAAAATTCGGATACGAAAAAAATACGGTACGGGTATATACGGGTTTAATATAGCACATTGTCAATAATATGTTTTGAAAAATACAGCAACATCAATTTTAGTTTTAGCATTTTTCATGGGCCATTTGGTTAAAATCTATATAACATTTCAAATATACGGGTACAACAAAAAAAGGGTACGGGAATTTTACGGCAAACGGTGAAAAATATGTTTGTAAAAATTTGGCAAAAATTCGAATACGAGAATAATTCGTGAATAATATGGTTGGGCTGATAAAATACGGCAGTTCGCGAGTAATACACGAATTTACTAACTAGCATTTTAACCACTGGGTATATATATTTAGATAAAAAAGTTTATTTAACTTAAAATTATAACTAAGTTTTATAATGTTGGCATTAGTTATACATATTTTTAATTGATTTTTCTCTCTAAATCTTTGGATAACAAAAAAAAAAAAATGATAGCATCTGGATCCTTGTTTTGCCATTTAAGTTACAAGAAAAATTAATTGATTCTTTGTGAATCATTTGTTTATTTTAGTTAAACGAATTAAAATTAACTAATAATTATAGTAGTGTTACACTTATTAAATACATATTCTTAATTTTATGTTTTAAATAATATTCATTTATCATATGTTTGAGATATTTATTTCATAAGTTTTATATTATTTCTTTAATTTATTTATAATATTTAAATTTGACGAAATTAAATAATATATACAGTACATCCATTTTATTTCACCCGCATCCATTTGGATTTGGGGCAGGCCAAGTAAACGATATTGATCCGTTGGTAAAAAATGGCAAGCGGTAACCATATCCAATTCAAAGTTGAACTTGGGCTGGGAGCAACGCTCTTTCTCCATGGCTGCTTCTACTGGTTTCTTAACACCCTATCCATCCTCTCTTTTTCCCAAAACTACTAATGCCACAATACCAAAACGACTTATACCATGCGCCCACTCGCAACCCGTGTTTAATTTTCGCTACCCCAAACTCTCATGCTTGCCTTTGTGTTCCCCAACTGGGTTTAGCGCAGTCTTAGCGGTGGTAGATGAGGAAGCAGTGGCGGTTGAGGATAATGTGGACGAAAACGAAGAAGACGTCGACGTTTCAGTTCAAGAATCAAAGAACCGAGCAAGACCATGTGAATTATATGTGTGTAACTTGCCGCGGAGCTATGACATTTCAGAGCTTGTCGAGATGTTTAAGCCTTTTGGAACTGTTATTTCCGTTGAGGTTCGATTACTAGTACTAAAATCTTTAGTTTTTAAACAAATATCAATCAGATAGTAAATCAAGAGAATAAATTTATACCTGTATGTTTGTGTGGGGTTAACAGTAGTTCAGTTATTTGATTGATTTTGGCTTACGTTTGGTAACTAAATTGTAGGTATCACGGAGTCCTGACACGGGTATAAGTCGAGGCTGTGGTTATGTGACAATGGCAACTATAAATTCAGCAAAAAATGCTATTGCAGCATTGGATGGATCTGTTAGTTTTAAGCTAGAAACCCCTTTTAATTTAATTCATTGCATACTTTTTTTAGTATTTTGCGCTGAACTTCTTTGCTATTTTGAAGGACGTGGGTGGACGTCAAATGCGGGTTAGATTTTCAGTTGATATGAGTATTGGGAAGAGGAATACTGAGGCACTGAATTCAACACCCAGGAAGATCCTTATATGTGAAAGCCCTCATAAATTGTATGTTGGCAATCTTGCCTGGGGGGTAAAACCTAAGGATTTGGGGGAACAATTTAGCCAGTTTGGGACTGTGGTCAGTGCAAGTGTGTTGCATGATCGTAAAGGAGGAAACAACCGTGTTTTTGCATTTCTTTCCTTCTCTTCAGCAGCAGAACGTGATGCTGCATTCGCTTTAAATGGAACAGTTTAGTCCAATAACATTGCATCTCGAATCACATTTTTTTATTGCAATTTTTTTTTTACTGTAACTTATTCAAATTCCGTTTGCAGAATTTTCGAGGTCGGACATTAATCGTGAGAAAAGGTGTTGAAAGAACTGAACCTTGACTGTAGCTGTGATTTGTAGATGTTGATGAAGAAATTTATTTTATCAACTGAAAAGGGAATTAACTTGGAGCATCCTCCTTGGCTGAAATGTGTAGTCAGAAGAGCAGGTATTTAGAATTACCAGAATTCAAAATCTTGTATCTTACAGCTCCGTTTGAGGATTTTCTAAGATTTTTTCATATGTCAACTTCCACATTAAAAATTTTGATGAGAAGCTGTTCCAATATAGTGGTTGATTTGATCAGGGTTAATTTTTAATACGTATTCTAGTTTGATTAGTATATTTGATGTATTATGTTTTATATTTGTTGTCTTGAGAGTTCGATTTCAAAATTCTATTGTTGTGAACTCCATATCCCATTTTCCTGCGTAATATCCATGGCAATTTTAATGGTATGGCTTATTCTACTGCTGGTCTGTTGCAATATTCAATGTATGAATGTTATGGTCAATAATGAGGGTTTTTCATATGACTGATTTCAGGATGGTTTAGGAAATGATGAGATACACCAATTTGGAACTCGTGGCTAATGAATCACTATATATAATGTGTCAAATTAGAAAAGAACTAGATTTGAACTTGCTAATGAACTTGATTAGGGTCTGGCTGGACTGAGTAAATGACTGGGAATTTCGTAAGTTGGCTGATGTATTTAGATAACTGTTTTGTTATATCAACTTAAACACTGTTACAAATGTTATTATCGAAGGATCCAATATCATATTTTGCTTATGAACCTCCATACATTTGTGCATAAAAATCACTTTTAGGTGTAAAAGGTCCCACCATTGGCATTGGCTTTTTTGTTTTTTAAACGAAAAAACAGTGACGTGATATATACTAATGTCCTATGTTCTGCTTGCAAGTGATGCTGATAATGATCATGTGATGAGATGAGAGCTTCCACCTACCATAGTTCCAGGCATTTTCAGCTCAAACTGAAGTCTGGAAATACCGAATTCTGAACTTAATACCTTAAATTGACAAGAATATCATACTTTAAATTTAGTCTAGTTCTCCAACGGATCAAAGATGTCTATTCTACTTAAAATTTTGGTAGTTAAATAATAAATACATAAAACTAGTTAACACTGAAGTTAAAGGGAAAAGATGCAGGAATGGCTCGTTTGGGAGGGAGTACTTGGCGGACCAAAAACAAATGTCATTTTGATAGACATTAATCTGCTTTGTTTGAGATGATTGAAGTTGCAGTCATATGACTCATCAGTTAATGGAAATCCCAACTCTAGGATCCTCAGACTAGTTACATGAGGAACATACATACAAAACAAAAATGCCGAAGGAGATCAATGTAGAAATGAAAAAGAATGGATCTCTTCATGATTATATTCTAATTTACAAGTGAACGTTTGGAGTGGTCATCAATAAGGCATTTGTTAAGTACTTTTTCAAAAAGCATTTTCAGGATAAGAAAGCTTCTAAAATTATTAAGTACCTTTTGAAGCACTTTTGTAGAATTCGGAAGCATTTAATCGTTAAGTACCAAGTTAACTTGCTGGAATTGGGGATCCGATGCCTGTTCGGTTGGAATCAACATGACGCTGTCTCATATTATACTCACAATTTTGACGATGAAGCCTGACAAACGGCAGTGACATTCAGATCCATCAAATAGAAAAAAATGACTGAAATACTGAACAAAGATAAAACGGTAAATAAATTTATTTTTAAAATTCTCTCTTGTTCATCAGAACAAATAAAATTGGACCAACAGAGGGAATAGGGTTCCCCAGAGGATACGAGGGAAATGGAAGTCTAAAAAAATCTAGTTTGAAAGTTTTACAAGAATAACTTGCCGGAGAGAGAACTCAGAAAAAGTGGCTTCCGTGAAGAATTTCCATATTTTAGCAATAATTGAGATGGTAACACAAGTTTCAAGGATCACATATTGGGTATATTATCGGTGTGTACAAACTTGTGCATTGGTGTTTGTGTATATGCAGTCTTGTTAACAACGAATCCCCCTTCGACTGACCCAACGCACAAACACTTAAAACAATAGCTGATCAACACATTTTACCGCTCAAGCCTTCCTTAGAACAGTGAACCAACGCAACGTAATTACTTATAAAACCACCTGCAATTAGAATTACATTCAACAGAAATTGTTTGTAGCTGTGGTCTTAACAAAAGCCGAGCAGAAGACAGATAAACAATATATTACATTGGATACTTTGCTAACTTACAATTCTTCACATCACAGCCAAAAATCCAAGTCAGATAGAAATCCAAGAAAGGAAATAACTGGTCAATTAACAGTTCACAGTATGCTATAATGAGATAAGTGTACAACATATAAATCACTTAAAAAGATTGAAGCATAGCAAGTATGATAAAAGAACTGGATTTTCACTCATAAAACAAGATCCGTAGCCAGCTCGGTTTTTAAGGGGGAAAACTAAATTAGATTATTATATACGGACACATGTTCAAGCTCTCGGTGATCTAGATCGTGTCTTCCAAATCAAGTAATCCTCCAAACCAATACCTGCCTCCACTATTCTTGTGTCAGGTTTAATTTCTACCTTCATAACCTTGTTCAAAATTTCCTCTGTTCTCTCAGTCTCATCCACTTCACAAATCCTAGGAACTATCATTACCCAAGTGTCCTTATGTGGAGCTTCCCCAAACTTCAGCAATTCCTCCATCACTCCACAAGCATCTTCAACCTTGCCAACATTACAAAAACCCTTTATCAAAGCATGAGAAACTGAAAAATGTGGAGAAAATCCCTTTGAAAACATCAAAGCCATATATTTCTTCGCCTCATCAAACATACCTTGATCACATAATCCACCAACCAAAGTCCTATAAGACACCAAATTAGGCAAGCATCCATTGGAAGACATATCCTCAAGAACCTTACAAGCATCCATTGCACGTCCTTCTCTACAAAACCCCAATATTACCGTATTATAATGAACAATATCAGGATTGCACCCTTTAACTTTCATTCTACAGAGAAGCTTATAAGCCTCCCTAAGCTTCTTCTTCCTACACAAACTATTCAACAATGTAGTATAACTCAACGTATCTGGTACGAACCCTTTATTCAACATATCCTCCAACAAATCAACTGCTGTATTCACCTGACTCTTCCTACACAACCCCTGCATTAAAATCCGATATGACTCCACATCAGGCATAACATCTCTCTTAAACATTTTGTTAAACAATGAATATGCAATACTTAAATCCCCGTTTAAACAAAACGAACGCATCAAAATGTTGTAGGATTTGGTATTGGGAAAAACACCGTATTTATGGGCATTCTTGAAGAGATCAAAAGCAGGCCGGATATAGTTCCGGTGAGTAACAAGAAGTTCAAGAATGCGATTTAAGTGTTTAGGCAAAGGCTTGCAGTCAAACTCAAGCATTGTATAGAATGTTTTTAGAGCTTTTTCTGGTAAATCGGCTTCTGCATAGATTTTGATTAGATAAGTAAAAAGAGTGGCATTGACGGGATAGTGACTGGATTTAAGGTGAATAAGAATATCATCAACAAAAGAAAAATACTTAGCGCGACCAAGTTTCAGGATGAGAATGAGATAGGAAGAATAAGTGTGGCGAAAATTGGGTTGGCGAGAGGCGTAGTCGAAGATTTCTTTGGCCAAGAGAGGGTCTGATTGTGAGGATATGAGTTTCTGGACTCGACATGGAGACGGAAATGCAGATTTTGAACTGGAAACCAAAGTTCCTTGTTTTTGTCTCTGATTTTGTTGTTCTTGTCGTCGTTGGTTTTGGTTTTGGTTATCTTGTTCATGGGGTGATGAAGAGGAGAAGAAGAAGAAGAAGAGTGGTGGAGTTTTTGGCGGGAAGATGGGTGTGCGAGTGACCGATGTGACAGTTTTGGATGAACGAAGAAAAGGTTTGTACATTTTTGCTGTTTCGATTCTCAACTGTCACCAGAGAGTTGGGTCAGTGTGAGTTTATGGCCTGAGTTGAGGCTCAGGCTCAGGTCAAAGGTTATAGGCTCATAGCTTCATTACGAATTTGGGCTGAACTGTAGTGTCTCGTTGCAACAGTCCATGATCCCATAAAATCCAAGTTCTTAAATTGAAGCAAATGGACAGTTGCACTTGCACATAAATTTAGAAAAAAAAAAAAAATATCCGATAATATTAGTCGTATAAAAATTGTATATAAAGTGATGCAAGATAAAATGAACGAATAAATGAATATAAATAATTAATTTAATAAATATAGAATAATGAGATTAAATGAATGATATTATAAAAATAATGTTATATCACACATATCATTTTATATCCATAACCATCTATACCTAGTATAAATATATTTTGAGAAGCGTTAATTGTTAAAATTCATAAATAATGTATTGATTTATCAACATCTATTATAAATTCTCGATAAACTTTAAGGAACTATAATTAAACACTTTTCAACAATACTATATATCAATAAAATTACCAAAGAGATCATGATAAATATTTTTTTCTTTTTCTTTCTTGTTCGATTTAATTAATAACAGCTCACCTAATTCTATGTATAGCATTGAATAAGGACTTGATGGGTTTATTGTTATTCGGAAAATATGGTTTAGTGCTCTAACTTGGCCTTTTGCAATTAACAACTATACATGTAATTATGTCATTTATTGTTAAAAACAACTACCATGACAACAACTTTCACGTGGGTGACATAATATAGATATCTTATGAATTATTTTAAGTTTTAATTCATGAAGCGATTTACATTTTACAATAATTGCTAGGTTGTGTATAATCTTAATTTAAAGGTATAATTTTATCTAGATCTTTCAACTTTTTAATTTGAACCATGCATAACATGTGACTACTTCTAATGACACCTGTTGATTTTTGGAGAGTCTTCCATTGGTTTAGGTTTTTGATAATATGAAAAAGTAATAATGTATTATTGTTGGTACCTATCCATTATTTAATTTGAAAATGAAGCCGACTTATCTTTATCTAATAATATTAAACTTACAAATTTTTTATACAGACTCTCATATTAAAGTAATAACTTCGAATGCTTGTTTGTAATATCACTCATCTTTATATATTAGAATGTTTAACCCTCTTACTGGTAAGTGACAAGTGTCATCATAACTTATAACCAAAATACTAATTAGGTTAGCAGTCAATGTTACATGACTTTCGTTGGCACGATAACTTTGAGTATAATGTTTCTTTTATTAAAATAATAAGAAAAAAGAAAAGATCAAATAGTTTAATTGGATGCTTTGGAACGAAATAGTTTCTATAATCAAATTAAATTTTGAAACGCTATCAAAACATCAAGAATCCGTACGCGTGTCAGGATGCTCACCACGAGATGTCAAGTGTGGTATGCCATCGCCAACGTGGCATTCCTCTGAAAATATCTTCATCGAAGACAGCACGCTGGCCAACACTTGTCAATACATGATGGACCCATACACGGATAATCAATAACAAAACATCTAGGTGCAGCCCAAAATACATAAAATCAAAAACAGTGGCCCAAATTGCGCCAGCTCAGCTCGACGAACCACAAACCAATGGCGGCCAACCTTTTGATCTGACTGTGAGAGAGAGAAAGTCTTATGCCGAGAAGATATTTTTCGCGTTTTTCGTGGCTGTAAACGAAAGTTGGATATCTATTCTGAGGCGGTTTATAGATTAACTTTTGCTAATAGGCTGATATAGACATATAGTATTAGATATTTGCAAAGGCCGAGGTTAATTAAATAATTTTATTTACAAAACATTTTCCTTTAATACATTTGCTTCTACGGTTATTTTTACCGAGAAATTAGGGTCATTGTTTTTAGTATTTGTGTTTGTCTTGTGGTGAAAAGTAGGGCTTATGAGAATGGGTGAAGTGGTTTTGAGCAGTGAAGAAGCAATGGAAATGGAGTTAGAGACAGAGAAGAACGAGACTATGAAGGATGGCTCGTCTGAGGGGGTTAGGTGGGAAAGATTTATGCCGAGGATGGTTCTTAGAGTTCTATTGGTAGAAGCAGATGATTCTACACGTCATATTATCTCTGCTCTTCTTAGAAAATGCAGTTACAGAGGTATCACTTTAGTGCTTCTCTTCTTCTTCTTCTTCTTTATTCATTTTCATTTTATTTTTAGTTCTTCTTTTGTTTTTTGCTTAGTGGAATTTGTTTTCTGGCGATTCCCATTTCTCGGATTTTGAAATTTATTTTTTTATTTTTTTTATTTTTTTTATTTTTTTTTTTTATGGACAGTTGATTTTTTAAAGTTTGCATGTTCTAAACTCTAAACTCTAAAGTCTAGATTTTATTTTGTACTGAGTGATCAACTCAATGAGGTTACACTATTAATGCCTTTATTCTAAATAGGTATAAACCAGTATGTTTTGCTCGTATAAACTTAAGCATCATCTTCTCCCAGTACGTTAAAAATTCAACCATTTCCACTTTCACAGTCTCAGTAGAGAGATTCTTCAAATTGAAGTACAGTCTCTGTTTCCCCTACAGAATTCTCTTCAATTAATGCAAAAATACGATGGTCCATGCTGCCTAAAAGTGCTCCGTAGTTATATCATTTTTAATCTGGAAATCTTTGTTCCTTGAGGCTTATGGAAAAGATATTGACTTCTTGAAGTTACTTTTCGGTTGACTTGCACAATCGGTGTTCCTTCATCGAGTTTAATTTGTATACTGGGAGATATGATGATAGGGTCATACTAATGGGATGAGTAACCTACCAATTTGTCCGAGCAGATTATAATCTTCATGGGAGCATAGCAAGAGTCACCAATGGTGATAATGGCTTCATTGATCTTGGAAACCCTATGGCTCTGTTGTAGTCGAGAGGTTTGTGTTTGTTGTAGTTTAAGTAGGTAAGGTTAATGTTTTTGATGTTCTTGACTGAGAAACAAGTTCCTAATGTATTTACGAGCCTGTGTAAAATGTATTATGGCTGCAAGACACGCATTTTGGGAAAGATACTGACCCTCGGATCACTGGTACATAAAACCCTAAGTCTCATGGAGCCTCTTTGTTACAGGGATTATTTGATTGTTTTTTGCCTGTATCATAGTTTCTTCTTTTGAATTCTAAATTTATATCCATTTCTGTCTGATATGACATTTGTTACTATGTTTTAAAAATTAGCATTGGAAATTAAAATTTTCAGACCGGATGTGTTTATTCATGCAGTTGTTGCTGTTCCTGATGGCTTAACGGCATGGGAGACTTTGAAGGGCCAGCCCCATAACATAGACCTTGTACTGACTGAGGTGGAGCTGCCATCAATATCTGGATTTGCACTTCTGACTTTAGTAATGGAGCATGATATTTGCAAGAAAATTCCTGTAATAAGTAGGTTGCTTTGACACTAAAACCGTACTTGGGTCAGTTTCAGTCTTGCTCTTTCATTAAATAGAATATTAACATGTTAGTATTTCTTCTTATGGCCATGCAGTGATGTCATCACATGATTCAATTAGCATGGTTCTAAAGTGCATGTTAAAAGGTGCAGCCGACTTTCTCATTAAACCTGTTAGGAGAAATGAACTGAGGAACTTGTGGCAGCATGTTTGGAGGAGGCACAGTGTATGCATCAATTCTTCCTCTTTGCCTTTCACAGTCTTTGCTGGATTTTTCATGTTTCCTGGTTCTAATTGAGCATAAATTTGAATGAGACTCTTCTTTTTTAATCAGCTACTTGGTGGACATGTTCCTCAAAAATTACCTGTTATACGGCATAAAGCTGAAGCAACTTCTGAAAACAATGCATCAAGCAGCCGTTCTAGTGATACAAAACAGAAAAGCAAGGAAAACAGTGAGAAAGGAAGTGTTGCACAAGTAAGAATTGGTTGCACTGTAAATATGAGTCATATGCTTCTACTTAAATCCTTGTAAATTTGTATTGTTATGCTGTACAGACATCATGATTTGAGGTATGTCAGTAACTCGTGGTCATTTATTCTAACATCTGCAATTTATAAGATGTTAGTATCATCTGCGCAAGCAACAGCTAAGGAGAGTCATAGTTGAAATATTATCTTTATGAGTAGCTAATTGTCAATTAATTTGTTATTATTCTCCCTTCCCAGATGCACCGATTGTGCAATATACATGATAAGCAATAGGTTGCTAGAATACATGTGTCCAAGATCCATGATGATTGCATATGTGAGGCCACTTATGGCTTTAGGAGAATTTCTTTTCCCAGATTAGGTTGGCTTCATGAGTTTCACGTAGGGCCTGCATGTTTTGCCACTTCTTGTGCAGAGCTCCTGTACATCGCCTTACTTGGAAGTTGAGAGTGCCTACATGCAAAATATGCAGGGTCTGTCATACCTGAACGGTAGGAGCACCTCTGATTCGAACAATGAAGAAAGGGAGAAGCTAGATGAGTGTATCAAACTCGAAAAGGGATCAGTTATGCTTGACAGTAATGCTGGAGGTATATCTATATCTTATGTCTCTTATTTTAAATTTTTTCAAGTTTTCTCCTTTATAATGGTTAAATGAAAGATTTATCTCCTGTCTTTTTTAACTATTAAAATAGCAGCATCTAATGAGTTAATTGTTTCAGAAAAGTTTGCATCTGGATCAGAGTTTGCACCTTGCAGCGGAGCTTATACGTCCACACCTTTGAGAGTGGAAGAAAATTATTTTTGTTTTAAACCAATGTCCCATGGTGATGGCGTGAGACCTGGAAATGATAGAGAAAATGCTTATACTACTGGGGTTCATGGATGCAACGATGAACTGATTGAACAAACTAGAGGAGCTATTGACTTGATTGGCACATTTGATAATCGCCCAAATTCCATCAGTGGACAATCAACTTTCAATGATGGCATGAACAAGTTTGAATTTGCTCCACAATTGGAACTCTCTTTGAGAAAAATATTTTCTAGTTGTTCAAAAGAACCAGTTACTGATGAGAGGCACGCCCTTAACCACTCTACTGCGTCAGCCTTCTCACGGTGAGTTTGAAATTATATGATATATCTTACTCTCCAATTAGTTAATTATTATTTAGGAATTTGAATAAGGGATGAATTATCTACTTGCTGAAAAGGTCGCTTTGCTCTGAGTCCCTGATTCCAAGTTCCTGTTTGCAGGTACAATAATAGTAAGACATTACCAACATCGGCTAGTAATTTTCCTAAATTGAAGGATGACACTTGTAAATCCCGAGAAATTTTGTCTAGTCAGCTCTCTGAAAATGCTACTGGTAACTCTCAACCACATGGTGCTACATCGAGTAACAGTCAGGAAAATATGACATTTCTGGGCATTGGTCAATCGGGGCAGTCTGAAGTAACATTTGCAAGACCACAACTTGGGTTTATTCCTGTCCCAGGTGTGAGGTTTGATAATATTGGTGCTGGATATACTCATGTATTCCCACCGGTATTCTATACTCAATCAGGTTTACCCCCTGCATGTAGTCCCAAATCACCCTGCCAGCGGGAACAGTCTCCCTTTCCTTCATGTACCTCTGTTCATTCCAACCCTGATGTTCATGACTTAGAAGGTCATCGGCAGTCTGATGAAACTATCAATAATTCTATTGACCAAACCGTATGTGAGCAGAACAATGTGGAGTCTCTGGAGGAGCTACGACGTAGTTCCGCTGCTGCAGGTCAGAGCACTTGCAGTAGTTTATGTAATGGTCTTGGAAATATTAACAATGCTGGCACATATGGAGGTTTTTCCAATCGAATGCATGAAAATGCCACTTTATCGGAGGCAGTTGAGAAGGGAACAGCTCCAGAGAATTTGAATGGAACACTCTTCATTCATGGTGGATTCAGAAATATGGATTGTCACCGCTCCAGCCGAAGGGAAGCCGCTCTCACAAAATTTCGGTTAAAGCGGAAAGATAGATGCTTTGAAAAAAAGGTATATATGTTTATTAGTACAGCAGTTATATAATGCCATTCAACTGTGCAGAAGCTTTGCAGCCTTGCTTGTCATGCTAGTGCTTTCTTAATTCTGAACTCTGATTGTCGTTTCAATAATTGTTCTTCCAGTAATACTTGTTCCTGCCAAATCCTAATCTGGGAATACTAGTCGTTTTGATTAGCTTGAGAGTTCCAATTCTGTAGTGAGAATAGGTAGTCGTAGAGAGTGATTTTGATATAAACTGGAGTCTCAGTTATTTAATGGAAAATTTTTTGCGCAGGTTCGATACCAAAGCAGGAAAAGCTTGGCGGAGCAACGTCCCCGAGTGAAAGGACAGTTTGTTCGTCAAGTGCGAGATGAGACCACATCCACAGCTGCTAATGGCAATGCTGATGGTTCTTGAGTCTCGTTAATGCCCATTTGTCCCGTGTTCTCAACCTGATTTACGCTTTTCCCCAAAGAAACCGTGTGTTGGCACTCGGCATATCTAAGCATGATTACAATTTTGGGTAGATTATGTGAGTGCTTCAAAATGCTTGCAAATATAATGGGCTTTGATTGGGGTTATTATTATAATTTTTGCATCTGCTGGTACTGGGTGTAAAAAAAATAGGTAAGAGTCCATCTAAACTCTAAAGTCTAGATTTTATTTTGTACTGAGTGATCAACTCAATGAGGTTACACTATTAATGCCTTTATTCTAAATAGGTATAAACCAGTATGTTTTGCTCGTATAAACTTAAGCATCATCTTCTCCCAGTACGTTAAAAATTCAACCATTTCCACTTTCACAGTCTCAGTAGAGAGATTCTTCAAATTGAAGTACAGTCTCTGTTTCCCCTACAGAATTCTCTTCAATTAATGCAAAAATACGATGGTCCATGCTGCCTAAAAGTGCTCCGTAGTTATATCATTTTTAATCTGGAAATCTTTGTTCCTTGAGGCTTATGGAAAAGATATTGACTTCTTGAAGTTACTTTTCGGTTGACTTGCACAATCGGTGTTCCTTCATCGAGTTTAATTTGTATACTGGGAGATATGATGATAGGGTCATACTAATGGGATGAGTAACCTACCAATTTGTCCGAGCAGATTATAATCTTCATGGGAGCATAGCAAGAGTCACCAATGGTGATAATGGCTTCATTGATCTTGGAAACCCTATGGCTCTGTTGTAGTCGAGAGGTTTGTGTTTGTTGTAGTTTAAGTAGGTAAGGTTAATGTTTTTGATGTTCTTGACTGAGAAACAAGTTCCTAATGTATTTACGAGCCTGTGTAAAATGTATTATGGCTGCAAGACACGCATTTTGGGAAAGATACTGACCCTCGGATCACTGGTACATAAAACCCTAAGTCTCATGGAGCCTCTTTGTTACAGGGATTATTTGATTGTTTTTTGCCTGTATCATAGTTTCTTCTTTTGAATTCTAAATTTATATCCATTTCTGTCTGATATGACATTTGTTACTATGTTTTAAAAATTAGCATTGGAAATTAAAATTTTCAGACCGGATGTGTTTATTCATGCAGTTGTTGCTGTTCCTGATGGCTTAACGGCATGGGAGACTTTGAAGGGCCAGCCCCATAACATAGACCTTGTACTGACTGAGGTGGAGCTGCCATCAATATCTGGATTTGCACTTCTGACTTTAGTAATGGAGCATGATATTTGCAAGAAAATTCCTGTAATAAGTAGGTTGCTTTGACACTAAAACCGTACTTGGGTCAGTTTCAGTCTTGCTCTTTCATTAAATAGAATATTAACATGTTAGTATTTCTTCTTATGGCCATGCAGTGATGTCATCACATGATTCAATTAGCATGGTTCTAAAGTGCATGTTAAAAGGTGCAGCCGACTTTCTCATTAAACCTGTTAGGAGAAATGAACTGAGGAACTTGTGGCAGCATGTTTGGAGGAGGCACAGTGTATGCATCAATTCTTCCTCTTTGCCTTTCACAGTCTTTGCTGGATTTTTCATGTTTCCTGGTTCTAATTGAGCATAAATTTGAATGAGACTCTTCTTTTTTAATCAGCTACTTGGTGGACATGTTCCTCAAAAATTACCTGTTATACGGCATAAAGCTGAAGCAACTTCTGAAAACAATGCATCAAGCAGCCGTTCTAGTGATACAAAACAGAAAAGCAAGGAAAACAGTGAGAAAGGAAGTGTTGCACAAGTAAGAATTGGTTGCACTGTAAATATGAGTCATATGCTTCTACTTAAATCCTTGTAAATTTGTATTGTTATGCTGTACAGACATCATGATTTGAGGTATGTCAGTAACTCGTGGTCATTTATTCTAACATCTGCAATTTATAAGATGTTAGTATCATCTGCGCAAGCAACAGCTAAGGAGAGTCATAGTTGAAATATTATCTTTATGAGTAGCTAATTGTCAATTAATTTGTTATTATTCTCCCTTCCCAGATGCACCGATTGTGCAATATACATGATAAGCAATAGGTTGCTAGAATACATGTGTCCAAGATCCATGATGATTGCATATGTGAGGCCACTTATGGCTTTAGGAGAATTTCTTTTCCCAGATTAGGTTGGCTTCATGAGTTTCACGTAGGGCCTGCATGTTTTGCCACTTCTTGTGCAGAGCTCCTGTACATCGCCTTACTTGGAAGTTGAGAGTGCCTACATGCAAAATATGCAGGGTCTGTCATACCTGAACGGTAGGAGCACCTCTGATTCGAACAATGAAGAAAGGGAGAAGCTAGATGAGTGTATCAAACTCGAAAAGGGATCAGTTATGCTTGACAGTAATGCTGGAGGTATATCTATATCTTATGTCTCTTATTTTAAATTTTTTCAAGTTTTCTCCTTTATAATGGTTAAATGAAAGATTTATCTCCTGTCTTTTTTAACTATTAAAATAGCAGCATCTAATGAGTTAATTGTTTCAGAAAAGTTTGCATCTGGATCAGAGTTTGCACCTTGCAGCGGAGCTTATACGTCCACACCTTTGAGAGTGGAAGAAAATTATTTTTGTTTTAAACCAATGTCCCATGGTGATGGCGTGAGACCTGGAAATGATAGAGAAAATGCTTATACTACTGGGGTTCATGGATGCAACGATGAACTGATTGAACAAACTAGAGGAGCTATTGACTTGATTGGCACATTTGATAATCGCCCAAATTCCATCAGTGGACAATCAACTTTCAATGATGGCATGAACAAGTTTGAATTTGCTCCACAATTGGAACTCTCTTTGAGAAAAATATTTTCTAGTTGTTCAAAAGAACCAGTTACTGATGAGAGGCACGCCCTTAACCACTCTACTGCGTCAGCCTTCTCACGGTGAGTTTGAAATTATATGATATATCTTACTCTCCAATTAGTTAATTATTATTTAGGAATTTGAATAAGGGATGAATTATCTACTTGCTGAAAAGGTCGCTTTGCTCTGAGTCCCTGATTCCAAGTTCCTGTTTGCAGGTACAATAATAGTAAGACATTACCAACATCGGCTAGTAATTTTCCTAAATTGAAGGATGACACTTGTAAATCCCGAGAAATTTTGTCTAGTCAGCTCTCTGAAAATGCTACTGGTAACTCTCAACCACATGGTGCTACATCGAGTAACAGTCAGGAAAATATGACATTTCTGGGCATTGGTCAATCGGGGCAGTCTGAAGTAACATTTGCAAGACCACAACTTGGGTTTATTCCTGTCCCAGGTGTGAGGTTTGATAATATTGGTGCTGGATATACTCATGTATTCCCACCGGTATTCTATACTCAATCAGGTTTACCCCCTGCATGTAGTCCCAAATCACCCTGCCAGCGGGAACAGTCTCCCTTTCCTTCATGTACCTCTGTTCATTCCAACCCTGATGTTCATGACTTAGAAGGTCATCGGCAGTCTGATGAAACTATCAATAATTCTATTGACCAAACCGTATGTGAGCAGAACAATGTGGAGTCTCTGGAGGAGCTACGACGTAGTTCCGCTGCTGCAGGTCAGAGCACTTGCAGTAGTTTATGTAATGGTCTTGGAAATATTAACAATGCTGGCACATATGGAGGTTTTTCCAATCGAATGCATGAAAATGCCACTTTATCGGAGGCAGTTGAGAAGGGAACAGCTCCAGAGAATTTGAATGGAACACTCTTCATTCATGGTGGATTCAGAAATATGGATTGTCACCGCTCCAGCCGAAGGGAAGCCGCTCTCACAAAATTTCGGTTAAAGCGGAAAGATAGATGCTTTGAAAAAAAGGTATATATGTTTATTAGTACAGCAGTTATATAATGCCATTCAACTGTGCAGAAGCTTTGCAGCCTTGCTTGTCATGCTAGTGCTTTCTTAATTCTGAACTCTGATTGTCGTTTCAATAATTGTTCTTCCAGTAATACTTGTTCCTGCCAAATCCTAATCTGGGAATACTAGTCGTTTTGATTAGCTTGAGAGTTCCAATTCTGTAGTGAGAATAGGTAGTCGTAGAGAGTGATTTTGATATAAACTGGAGTCTCAGTTATTTAATGGAAAATTTTTTGCGCAGGTTCGATACCAAAGCAGGAAAAGCTTGGCGGAGCAACGTCCCCGAGTGAAAGGACAGTTTGTTCGTCAAGTGCGAGATGAGACCACATCCACAGCTGCTAATGGCAATGCTGATGGTTCTTGAGTCTCGTTAATGCCCATTTGTCCCGTGTTCTCAACCTGATTTACGCTTTTCCCCAAAGAAACCGTGTGTTGGCACTCGGCATATCTAAGCATGATTACAATTTTGGGTAGATTATGTGAGTGCTTCAAAATGCTTGCAAATATAATGGGCTTTGATTGGGGTTATTATTATAATTTTTGCATCTGCTGGTACTGGGTGTAAAAAAAATAGGAAGCTTTTTAATTATCTAGTCTTGAGTTAACTTTTTCTGTTTGATTAATGTGATTGCCTGAACGTGAGAGAACTGACTGTAGTTAGACAGGAATTTGTATGACGGTTTGCTTAATAGGTTATGAAGCTGTTTGATGTTTTTTAACTTTTCGCTATGGTTTATGGTTGAAGTCTAATTGACCACTTACGTTGATGGAATTGGATTTCTCGGTGTAACTGTATCTTAAATTTAAAAGTACAACCGTGTAAGGCTGTATTGTACACTGAATTAACATTTATTATCCATTTGGTAAGTGTATGCAATCTTCAATTGATAATTTTTAATTTTATTTAAATATATTTGTACTGATATTTCCCGCTTCACTCCGCGAAATATCTTTTCGCTTAAGTGGTTGAAAATTTGCTCCAAGGAATCCTGTTTTTTATTTTCAAAACAAATTTTCATTCTTTTTACCGATAATGATAAGGAAAAATAGTTACTATACATATATATATATAAAGAATAGTAGTAAAAAACTTATGGAGATTTTTCTCCTTTGGTTTCAGTGTTGAGTAAAGTAGGTCCGATCTCATATGTGGTAGTGAAGTGGGGACATTAGCAATGGTCATTTCTAAAATGGAAGAGTGACATCTTTCAAGCTGTGTTGATTAGATAGTCAAGATTTAGGCGAGTGCAAATTCCAAAATAGAAGCAAAAGATTTCAGGGAAAAAGAGGGAGGTCGAAAACAAAGACTTTTCCATATGTAAAGTTGGAAAAAAATTTGAGTGGATGAATAATGAAATAGGTGTAATTCCACTAGTGTTATTGTGAGATAATATGGCATGCAACATGTGGAAAAGAGTTGATGTAATGAAAAGTGCGTGCGCCTAACAACCGTAGCACCCAGACCCAGTGGTAAGGAAATGAAAAAATTGGAATGGGCGTGGGATCTGACTAGGCGTGACCCAATGAGGAGGAAGCATGTAGGAAAGTTAAGACGCAGCCACCTATTTTTTCATGCAGAAAGAGTTGGGTCCGGACTTATCCACATGTCGGTGTGCATGGCAGCCGGTAACAGTTGTTGTTGCCACTGCTTTTTTTGTTTTTATTTTCTTTTTGTACAGTATTTTGTCCTCCTACTCGAATCTAGAAACATAAAGAAGCCGATCAAACTTCACTTCTCAACATTGAATGTTTCCATATGCACGGGGATCTCGTGAATGATTAAAAGGCCCTAGGTAATGTAATCATAAATAATTTTCAATTATTTGTCTCATGTGTCGCACACTCCAATTGAATCACCCAAAAAATATTATACTCCATTATTTATCGAAAGAGGGAAACAGTTTTATTAAATCTAATCAAGGAAACCAAAGTGGTGAAATACTGAAATTTATTTGGCTTTATTAATTATTTCCCTCTGTGATCTGTATTTATACCATTCCGAGGGCCTTTGCATTCTACTTTATAGGTCAATGACACTATTAATTACATAACAAAATTTGTATATTGAATTGAATAACGAGTTATGTGTTGGTGTTTTTGAAAAAGAGAAGACACAAGAGCAAAAGTATTTGGCAAAGGGCCACCCAACTTGAATTAAAGTTGATTGAGAAGAAGAAATGTGTTAGGGCTTTTTTAATTAATCTTTGCTTTGATGTTGGCTCGAGTGAAATAATTAAATGCAAGCCAGACGCTTTTTTATTTTGTTTTTTTGTTCACATCTCTTTTTGTTTTGTTTCAATTATTTTTTACACAAGTTTTGAGGGAAAAAAAAAGGTAAAAGGAAAAGAAAATTCAACTAAAAAAAAAAAAAAGAAGAAATTGAATAAAATGAGAAAAGAAAAAGAAACTTTAGTTAGAAGAGTGGCCCATACTTCCCTTCTTTTATGTTTGCTTTTTTATTCCATTTGTACGTCTACAGCTAGCTTAACAATATATATATATATACAGCAGAAGAGCCCAGGAGGAACCCTCCAAGAAGAGACCCAGATGAGCCAAGACTAATCACATCCTACTGATAAAAAACCACCCATGGGAAATCCAGACCCCGGCAAAGATCCACGCCCTGTTCTCTGCAAAGTCATAGCAGTCTTCCTCCTTTTAGCAGGTGCCACAGCCCTCACAGTCTGGCTTGTCTACCGGCCCCACAAACCTCGCTTCCGTGTGGTTGGGGCTGCCATTTACGACCTCAACGCCACCGCACCACCGTTTATTTCCACCTCCATGCAGTTCACCCTCGTCACAAGAAACCCTAATAAGAGGGTTGACATAATATACGACAAATTATCTGCATATGTTTCGTATCGGAACCAGCAAATAACACCACCCGTTGTTTTGCCTCCGCTTTATCATGAGACAAAGAGCACAGTAGCGTTGTCCCCAGTTTTGGGTGGTGTTCCGGTGCCTGTGTCGGCGGAGGTGGTGAATGGGTTGGTGATGGATGAGAGTTATGGAGTGGTGAACTTGAGGGTTGTACTTTTAGGACGGTTAAGATGGAAAGCTGGCGCTATAAGGACAGTGAGATACGGAGTTTATGTGAAATGTGATGTTTGGGTTGGTTTGAAGAAGGGTATTGTCGGTCAAGTTCCTTTGCTTGGGGCTCCTCCATGTAAAGTTGATATATGAAACTTATAGAGATCGATGTAAGCTCTTGGTTTAAAGCTTATTTTCTTCGTCTACTTCTTCTTCCTTTTTTTTCTATTATTATTTTATATATATATATATATATATAAATTTTAGTTTTTTTCCCCCAAAGTATTATTACTGATGCAGATCAATGAAGTTTAGAGTAAAAGTATGATGTTGTAGGCCATGAAGTATTGGCTAAACAAGAATAATAAAAGGCTGATCATGTAGTCAATAGCGATGCTGCTTCTTTATTTTCCGTCTCGTCTGACCTCTACTAGTAATAAAATTTGAGGGGGGCATAACTCATCACCCAATAAGGTTTTCTTGAATAAAAAGATTATCCTCTCTTATAATTAAATAGGTTTAAATGTATCTAATCGATATGAGACTCTAATATTTTCTGTTATAGTCAAACTTATATTTTGGGTCATGTCTATTAATGGAAGTAGTTGTTAGTTCTAATTCCTCACTCGTCGGTCAAGCTCAAATCAACTAAATCTGGGTTTTGATACCATGATAAAATTTGAGGTGTGCTTGACTCTTCACCCAATAAGGCCTTCTTGAATAGAAAGATTACCCTGTCTTATAATCCAATAGGTTTGAACGTGTCTAATTGATATGAAACTTTAACACTCCCTCTCACAGTCAAGCCCATATTTTGGGTTATGTCTCTTGATGGAGATAGTTGCTAGCTTTAACTTCTCACTCGTCAGTCAAGTTCAAATCAACTGAATTTGGGTTTTGATGCCATGATAAAATTTGAGATGGGTTTGACTTTTCACCTAATAAAGCCTTGTTGAATAGAATGATTACCTTATCTTATAAACCAATAAACTTGAGTGTGTCTAGTTGGTGTGAGGCTTCAACTGTTAGCTGCTGTGCTTTCATTTTTGTCTTCTCGGTGGTTACCGACAACTGTTTTCAGTAGTGAATAAGCATGGCCACGAGGCATGGATAGAAGTAGGGCGCGTGGCTCTCCATGCAAAGCTAGCTAATTTGGCATTTGCCTCCCTCACATCTAGAAATTTAACTAACGAACTAGCATTAGTGAACCACCTCCGGGTTGAGGCGATCTTAACTGTAATGCTGGTGAATTTTGACATAAATTTATACCTTTTCAAGTTTTTTATTTTTATTTTTTTAGTTTTTTCCCGATTAAAGTCACTTGGTAGTTAATTCACAAGTTATGAAGGTGAAGACGAAGGGATTTTTCTTTATTATTAGCTGAAAATCTATTTGGAAGGATTGTCAATAGAAATAAAAATTAAATAAAACTCATATTAATAATAATAATAATACACATTTATCCAGATCTTAATAGATAATATAACATAAAATAAAGAAAAAATTTAAATCCATCAAAAAGTACTCTGAAAAGGAAAATTAAGTACTATTCTACGTGTTACTACTGGGTTCTTTTAAATATATATCTTTTTTAAATGGGAAAAAAAAACACAAAGAAAAGAAGAAAAGAAGAAAATAATTGAATTTGAGGTGGGTCTGACTCCTCATCTAACAAGGTCTTATTGAATTAGAGGATTACCTCATTTTATAACCCAATAGACTTTAGCGTGTTTAGTCGATGTGAGACTCCAACACTCTTCCTCGCAGTCAAGCCCATATGTTGGGTTATTATGCCTATTGATAACCCAATAGGCTTGAGTGTGTCTAGTCGGTGTGGGACTTCAACATTTTTCCTCACGGTCAAACTCATATGCTGGGTCATATCTGTTGGTGAGGTAGTTGCTAGCTCTAACTCCTCACCCGCTCAGCTCAACTGAACCTAAGCTCTGATATCATGATAGAATTTGAGATGGACCTAACTCCTCACTCAAGAAGACCTTATTGAATAGGAGAATTACCCCCTTTTATAACCCAATAGACTTAAACGTGCCTAATCGATGTGAGACTCCAATAGAAAACCATATACTGTGAAGCATATACTTGATAAAGAAATAGAATGATAACCTGTTTATATGAATTGGTGGTAATGAAGTAGAGTTGGAATGCATAGTGATGGAACCAAACATGATCTTTAAGTGAAGAATAAGAACTTATCCCTTAGATTTTGGCTTTTAAGTGCTTTACTTTCGATTCTCCAATACAATAATAATATGCTTCAGGACTTAGAAAGTGGATCAAAACTTTTTCACCCACAAATACTTTAATATGATGCTATAATTTCTTTATTCAAATCTTTCCCATGAATTTACTAACCTCAATTTTATGTAATTTGATACCATGAGAACAATTGAGACATCTCATAATATTGGGAATCGAATCTGTCATATTGTCTCGTTGCCATTCAATTGCTAATAGTCAAGGTATCAGATTCATATCTTTAATTAAGTTAATAGGTAAACCACTATTGATACTGATTGATGCTTAATGCTTTAGTTGTATGAAACAAGGGTCCGTTTGATTTATGTTTTCTTGTAGTATTTAATATTGGGCTGGATGTTGAGGGCCCAAAATTTATCCTAGTTCAATATCTGTGCTGTCCGCACCACCCCGCACTCCATGTTCCTGACTGGGCTGGGTAGTTTTCCAAGAGGCCTGAGAGAAGGCAACGGCGGAACTGGGTTTAGACTTAGATGAGCAGGAATGAACTTAAAATTTGTGGTAGGCAATGAGCAAGTGTGATACGGAATCATATTCAAAGTGATAAACCAAATCTAAAGAGTAAGAGAGTCAATGATTATGGAATTGAACTGGTTGAGACGTGTTTAATGATGTGTAGTTTTCAAGACAACTATATTCATGAATTTAAATTTAATCCTATGTTTTAAACCATTGAAATGACAGAATGGTTTAAAGCAACTTGATTTTTATCTAATAGATCTCAACTACAAGTTTGATTTTTGTGAATTATTCTCAAATCTACTGGACCAATATTATGTTAACACCAAAAAGGTTGTTTTATTTATTTAATGATTTCTTTCACACGTAGCATTAGTTGTTTGTCCATACTTATTTGTCTGCTACAAAATTAGCCGATTCCCTTTACATAGAATTCGAATCAGACCCACATGGTCAACCAAATGGCCGGCAAGTACGACTTAAACTTCGGATATAGAAGGGAAGGGTCACGCAGGGCTTATATAGTAAACTCGTATAAAATTGTCCTTGTATACATGCTCCTTTAATTAATCGGAGTACAAAAAGAGATTCACGAGATTCAAAACAAAGACTCATGCTATCCGAAGCCGAAGAGTTGTCTTTCCAACCAGAACCAGAAGAGATACTCAGAGGGAAATTATATGCTAAGTCTTGTTTGACTTCGACAAACCCAAAAGGGTAAGTTTTCAAGTAATTATTTCTGGATATTGTATAATCGTTTTGCTCCATGCTGTCGTCTGTTTTGGTTATTATACCTTTTATTATTGTTTTCTTGTTTTCCGTTTTATACTGGTTAAAATGCTTTCTTACAAGTGTTGGTTAGTATTTCGATTCATTGTAGACAATGATGGGATTTTTTTTTTTTTTTTAACATCATCGTCGTGTTTATTTTATTTTGTTTTTATATTATGGATTTGTTTGATGCCGCTGGCACATTATGTGATTTATTTAATGGAATATGATATTGATTTTGTACAACTAAAGATCTTTTCAGCTCTCTTGCTTAGGAAATGTTTTGGGTTTATTTGATAGGGCTTTTGCTATATTTTCTATTATGTAAATTGTTGAAATGTTTTTAGCATTTGTAACATCCTACTTCTGAATGATGTTTGGGTTTGATGGGATGATTAACTTGAAACTCAATACTAGGGTGTGATGCAAGCTATTTTTGTTTTGACTTTGCTTCAAGCATATTTTTGTGAATTTTCACCTAATCTATAAAATACTGCATTTAAGATTAAATTTTATCCAAATATATCTATAATTGCAACCGAGTTGACTTTCTTGGCTTGCAGGTTGTTTACGCCTGTACCAATATTTTTAAAAAAAGTGGTTGTCTTGATTTCACCAGCTGCATTATATAATCTTCATGGTCCTGGGATTTCCTGTTTTTGGGATGATTTGCATTAGATGGACATGAAGATTTCCTATAATTGGTTTCAGCCTTCCATTATTGATGCTAAAAAATTCCTATCTTAGATTTTTTTGGGAACGTATACTTAGGAGGTAAAAGTTTTGCTACCCTGTATATGCTTTTGAGGCATTGACATATGATCTTGTCCAGTGAAGCTTTTCATATGACAGGAGTTCTTCCAGGCACAACTTTTGCACACACTTTTCCTTTTTGCAATCGCTTCTTGTCCAGATTGTTGGATATCCATGCTCAAGATTGTTTTTTATGTGTTGCATATTTTGTTTCACCAAAAGGACACCCTTTAGAGCTTCCTCTATAGTGTTTCTGATAGAGCTTATCACTGCAAAGAATGTTAATGGGCGCTTAAGTAGTTCTATAAAAGAACACTCCATGTTTGCTTTCTCAAATGAAAATTTGTAGTTCTTTTTGCTCTCTCATATAACATATGTCTTGGCTCACCATCAACATGAAGGAATTAGTGTTGTGTTATAGGCTCTTGTTTCCATATGTGTGAATGTTTCATATTTCCTCGAATTATGTTTACTTTGAGCTATGTCTCAGTCCAGCCTTGAAGACTCTGTAGATATTATGTGTGATGTGTGTTTTCTAATGAAATACTTTTGGTTCCTCTACTTTTTCAGTCAAACACGAGCAAATGATGGTATTTGGTCATAACAATGTTGATTATGAATAATATAGAACCTCCCTAATTTGTCTCCTATTCTTTTTTCTTCTATGTGTGGTCTGTTTTCTATTTATTTGGTGATTTAAAAGCGATGAAGTTATTATTGATATAAAACATCAAATATCAGAAACAGAAAGTTCCTCCTTTTTGTGCATTACTATTTGAGTTTTTGATTCCATTTAGCTTGTGGTATTTTGGAACAATAAAGACTCTTCTGCTATTTAATATAGGAAGATGGTTTTATAATGATTGAAACCATATTTAACTTGTATGCATACATGTTTCAGTAGGAAACCGTTATTAATTGTATTTTGATGAATGTCAGATGGAAAGACAAAGTTCTCAACACGGACAAATTATTGAAATAAGTGTAGATGTTTCTGATGGGGCAAGGAGCCCTGGAGGGAGTAAGATTTGTGGTGAAGCACCTTGTGGACTTGCAGATGCTAGGACAAACTCTAAAGAAGCCAAAGAACGAGCAGCTTCCATGCGCAAGCTGCTAATAGCAGTTGCACTTTGTGTTGTCTTCATGAGCGTTGAAGTAGTTGGTGGCATCAAAGCTAATAGTCTAGCAATATTAACTGATGCAGCTCATTTACTTTCAGATGTTGCGTCTTTTGCTATTTCTTTGTTCTCATTGTGGGCAGCTGGATGGGAATCAACGCCCCGTCAGTCTTATGGATTTTTTAGGGTTGAGATTCTTGGTGCTTTGGTTTCAATGCAGCTCATCTGGTTACTTGCGGGGATTTTAGTATATGAAGCAATTGTTAGACTTATTCATAATACAGGGGAGGTGAATGGCTTTTTAATGTTTCTTGTTGCTACTTTTGGTCTTGTGGTGAACATTGTCATGGTTTTTGTGTTGGGCCATGATCACGGTCACGGTCACGGTCATGGTCACGATCACGGTCACGGTCACGGTCACGGTCACAGTCACGATCACGGTCACGGTCACAGTCACGATCACGGTCACGGTCATGGTCACGGTCACGGTCACAGTCACAGTCACAGTCACAGTCCTGATGATCATGATCCTGGTGTCAGTTATAGCCACAGAAAGACAATCACTGCAGGTCATCATGATCATGATGAAGAGCATCATCATCACCATGATGAGGAGAACCCCAAAGATAAGCTACATCATCATAATGAGGAGCATTCTCGAGAAGAGCACCTTCATACAGAAGACCATACTGAACCACTGCTAAGCAAACCACAAGGTGCACAAGAAGAAAAGAAGCAACGGAACATAAATGTACAGGGAGCTTATCTTCATGTTCTTGGGGATTCTATTCAAAGTATAGGAGTAATGATTGGAGGTGCAATTATCTGGTACAAGCCTGAATGGAAGATAGTTGACTTGATTTGTACTCTCATATTTTCAGTTGTTGTTTTGGGGACTACAATTAAAATGTTGCGGAACATACTTGAAGTCCTGATGGAGAGCACACCAAGGGAGATTGATGCAACAAAGCTCGAGAAGGGATTGTTGGAGATGGAGGAAGTGGTGGCCATTCATGAGCTGCATATATGGGCTATCACAGTGGGGAAGGTCCTATTGGCTTGCCATGTCAAAATCAGGCCAGAAGTAAATGCAGACATGGTGCTGGATAATGTGGTAGAATACATTAGAAGGGAGTATAACATCAGTCATGTGACCATACAGATAGAACGTTAGTTGTGAGTGAGTGTATTAGCTGTGTCTGCAACTTCCATTATTGGAGCTTCTAGTTAAGTCATTTGGAAGCCTTTGTTTATATTAGCAATAGCTCTTCAGCTTTTGAGCATTGAAGTTGATACTAAGGCAAGGGATAGCTGATAATTGTCAAAAATTGCACATGATTGCTGCTTAGTACTTCATATATCCAGAATATATATTTAGTTTAATTTATCCTGTCTTTTGCTTCAATGTATACTAGTTACCATTTTAGTTCCATAGATGTATGCACTACTCTGTTTATGGGATGGGAAGAAGTTTTCGTCCGGCTATTTGAGTAAAAATGTATTTATACTGCAATAGGTATGCATAAACTGTCTCTGGAAATTGGGGTCTACCTTCTGTGTTTCTTGAGTGTCACTGGCATTATAGGAACTCCTCGATAATCTGGTTAATTTCTGGTGGACTCGTGATGTTGGGAGGTGGGGGCAGTGGTGTCATCTCAATTCCCACTGAGGAAGCTTAACTCGTGAATGGCCAAGTACTTCATTTTTCTGTTGAGTGACTCTTGTGATTGACAAGAGAAATTGTACAAAACAACCACAGTTGAGCTTTGGTTTATCAACTATGACGAGAGTCGAGGAAGAAATCTTTAATATTTACTGCAGTTAATTATATTAGTGGCGTGTGAATGTGTGGATTTTATAAAATCAGCTAAACGACAGGGTCCAAGTTTGCAGTTCTTGAGACAGCGAATGCCTCTGGTTCTGTGGCTATGAGGTGTGGTATAGTTTTATAGGAGGAAAATAAAGACCATAGTTCAAACGGATAAGATTGTGAGTTTAGTCTTCTCAAGCTGGGATTTTGCTGGATTGAGTTTGTCTTCTTTGTAAATTTTGTTTAACATATCTCTGTTTCTTCCTTTGTGAAGCTGCAAGCACATACACACATTCACATGGGGCATTTTGACACTTACATAAATTATTGAGGGATGTATGAGCCGTTGGATTGCTTCTACCACATCTGAGATGACTATCTTCTAGGAAAATTTTGATTAGAAAAAGAAAACCGTCTTATACGATAGGATCCATATTTTCACAACAGGTGATGATACCCCAATTCAAAGGTTATAATTTGGAATCTTGTCTTTGTTAGGCTTCTCTTAATCTCAGAGTCTATAGGAATTTGTGTAGTAGCAAAATGGTGAAGGTGAAGGTGATGTTGGCTTCATGATATAAACAACTGTAGTCTTCTAAATTGGATGAGATTGTGAATCTTTAAATTAATGTTATGTCCATGTCAATCATGAAAGGAGGCTAAAACAAAAATAATAATAAAATTATTTGCCATTAAAAAGGAAGCCAAGAGTAATATGCCCCGGACTGTTGGTATTAACTAAAGCAATAACGGTAGGTCATACAAAATTAGGAGCAGTGGACTGGAGGAGTATGGAGGTCATCACAAGAACTATGACAATTGTACAATAGATCTTAGCAAAATTTGAATGGGATATATGTTTTGTCCAGCCCATTTATTCATTGAATATAATCATATATATATCCAGTGGAGTCAACTTCACAAACAAAATTAACGCAGAGCAAGACTCTGTATTGAAGCCATACTTGCTATCTAGTATTCAATCCAATCGTGTACTCCCATTGGAGACAAAATTCGTGTCCCAAAACAATTAATTACAGGCATTTGCATAGGCCCCAATTCCATCTAGCAATTTTCAATTATTTATGATAAAAACAATGGTAAAGCCCGACATGTCTTGGAGACATATTTGAATAAAAGATGAATGTGTGAACTTCATTTTAACTATACAAATCAAATCGATGCCTCGAATGCTCTTCTATGTATATATATATAAATTTTAAGTATACGTTTTTGCACTTGGAGAATGTAAATGTGAATAATAATCTTCATAAAATAACTCCAGATATACAAATATCTTCATCAAATGTACTTGTTATGTAGAATAAGGCAACGCTGTTACTGGTTTTCTTTCAAGAGATAGAACCTAAATTAAGAATTTATGGTGGGTTTTTTCGACAAAAAAAAAAGGAGACAAAATTAAATAATTTGGAATTGAAAGCCACTGTTGCTGCCCTAGTTAACAAGGTAGTGTACATTGTACAACTGAAATGATTCGAAGTATTGTACCATGTGGGGCTGATTAATAAAATAAGTGTGTGTGTGTGTGTGAAAGAGAAATAAGCATGCAGAGGGATAAGTTGATAGAGAATAAATTGGAGATGGAGAAATGAACGACGCATCGTGAGACGATAATATGGAAGGACTTTAGAATGAATGAAAGAAAATTGATATTGTAATATATATTTTTTTTGTGAACCGAGAGTGTCCGAATCCGTTTTTATACAACTTAATTAATCCTTAAGATTTTAAAGTTAAACACTCATACCATCTCAACTAATCATTCTAGACCTTAAAATTGACGTGTTTTCACCCATTAGCAGGAGGGTGAATCAAACTTAACTTTTGGTTTATTCACACCCGAAAGTCTTAATTTACCTCTCACTACCCAACGATGTTAATTGATACTGTAATGGGAAGATATACATGAGACCTTTTAGAAAGAGTGAGAGAGAGAAGAGTAGTAGTCCCCACAACTAAATGTCTCCGCTGCTGGACAAAACTGCCACCGCCAATAATGCTTTTGGGACCTTGCAAACCAGACAACCCTAAACCCTTACGCCTACGCGCTCTCTCTTTAGTCTTTCCTTATTCCTTTCACTACCAATTTCTAAATATATCTTCTCATATATCCTCAGTTTCTTGTTTTTAACTCTTTTCCACCTTTCATTTATCATCTCACATCCTTGGATTTTCTTCACCACTCTTTTACCCATCTTCACCTTCAATTTCTCTCTCTGTAACTTCACATCACACCAAATAATTTTTTTTTTTTTTATATATATTTAAGATTATCACCGCACCAACACTATAAACAAAGGAATATATCTGTGCTCGTAAATGGGGTCTCGTTCTGCTTCTTGGGGCTTACATTTATTACTAGTATTGTTTCGTTAGCATCACTATGGAATGTTTGTAACCGAGAGAGAGAAAAAGAGGTAGATAGACAAGAGATAAAAGAAAGAATTTAAGGCGCTACTTCAACGACAAACTGCTCAGCTGCTGCAATGGAGAGGCTTCAAGGACCCATTAATCCTTGCGTATGTTCATTTTAGTACTTGTCTTTTCTTTTCACTTCCTCTTTTCTCGAATCCTTTTTCTAGAATTAAGATGTGCATTGCATTTACTCCTCTAAATGCTTGCATTCAATGCAGTGACTAGTTTTTCTGGAAATACTATTATCTGCTATTTCTGTTTCCCATTCTTCTACATTCCTTTTTTATTCTCTTCCTCTGTTAAGATTGAACTACCCACACAATCCTTGATATACTACTTTTCCTTGCTTCTAATGTTGAAGGCCAACTAAGAATTTCCCTAATTTTCTTATTTCTTATTTTATTTTCTTGCAGTTCTAGGGTGAACATTTGAATGTGGAGTACTTAGAACAAGAATTTCTCAGCTCGGAGGCCTTAAGATTTGAAGAAGAAGAAAGTACAAACTTCTCTACTCCAAGTTTAGAAGACAAAATGCCATTTCTCCAGATGCTTCAAAGTGTAGAAACCCCATCACTTTTCCCTTTCAAAGAACCCAACTTTCAGACACTTTTGAGACTCCAACACCTGAAAAAACCATGGGATGTAATAAACCCTTACGTCTCTGAAATGGAAAACCAAATCCAAGTCTTAGAACTTGAAAGTTGCATCACCCAAGAAATATTAGACTTGCATTCACCGGTGAAATCACAATCAGAAACCAAAGACCTCCAAAACCCACATTCAACTTCATGCCTGGAAGGTGCGAGCTCAGAATCCAACCAAGACCAACCCAACTCGGTAGAAATCACTCACCCTAACCCACAAACCAGGCCTAAACACACCCAGTTCTCGAAATCCCTTCCAGTCACTCGAGAAAGAAGAAAAAGAAAGCGAACAAAACCAACCAAGAACAAAGAAGAAGTAGAGAGCCAACGCATGACCCACATTGCAGTTGAACGCAACCGCAGACGTCAAATGAACGACCATCTCAATGCTCTCCGTTCTCTCATGCCTCCATCTTACGTCCAAAGAGTAAATCGATTTAAAACCCTTCCATCTTTTGTTACTTTCATTATTCAATTACCTATATTGGAACCAAAAAAATATTTTTTTTCTTTGTCATTGTTAAAAGGGTGACCAAGCATCCATTATTGGGGGTGCAATAGACTTCGTGAAGGAACTTGAGCAACTTTTACTATCCCTTGAAGCCCAAAAGAGAATGAGAATGGAAAAAACCACCGTAGAGGGTTATGATAGCACCACGTCAAGTAGCTCCACCGACAAGGCAAACGGACTTTTGGCAGTGAGGCCACAAATTGAAAATTGTGACGGGGAAGTGAAAGGCGAGAACAAGTCAAGTGGGGCAAAGATTGAGGTGATTGTGATACAAAATCATGTTAACCTCAAGATTCAGTGTCCAAGGCGACCTGGTCAGTTGTTAAAAGCCATTGTTGCACTTGAAGATCTTAGGCTTACATTTTTGCACCTCAATATTACTTCCTCCCAAACTACAGTTCATTACTCTTTCAATCTCAAGGTACTTATCTGTTTCTTTTTTCTGTTAGTCAACCATTAGGACTTAAGTCTTGAGCAATTCTAATTCTTAATTTTCTTTGGGTGTGTTGAATGCAGATAGAGGATGAGTGTAAGATAGGGTCGGCGGATGAGATAGTGGCAGCAGTTCATCAAATATTCAGTTACATCAACGCTAGCTGATTGGTGAAAAAAGTTGAGATTATTGGTTAGGAAGTGTGGAGCGGGTAGAGGTAGAAAAGATGAAGAAAAATGGAAATGGAGAGGAGAGGAAGTATTGTTGAAGCGTGAAGGGTGTAGTTGTTGTAGCAAAAGAGGTTGCATTGCGGAACAAAGCATATGATGTTTACGGCTGAACCTAAAAGAAGTTGCTTTGTTTGTTAATTATAAGAAATTAAAATAAATATGTTTAGTGTAATGTAATGTATGTAATTTTGTTAGTTAGCAAATCTATTATTTAGGTTGTGGTTGTGGGTGAGAGAGAATAGATGGGACCGCATATCCTGCCCTGGTTGAACTTGAATATCTAATTCTCATGATTACAAATTGTGAATGATGCTTCTCTTTTTGTATTGACTTTGGCTGATGTCCATCTCTGTATGTACAGAGATATGTGGGTGCCCCTTCTCTTTTTGTACTCTCTTTTCGCCTTAGGTACTCTTTCCATGCTTTTGAGTTCATGACCTCTACTCTTCAATAATAATAATAATATATTAACCACCGTTACATACATTGAAGTACATAATCCAATCCATTAATTACTATCTAAACCTGTTTAATCCACAATCATACTGCCAAGATTTGACACTTCATTTGGGTCTAACTAGGTAGATGCAAATTCAGTGTCAAAACTCCTCTACTTCATGACTCATGATATGCCATGAAGATTTGACTAAGTTTAATCCCTTGAATTTTATGCCATAAGCAGTTGAACCTACACAGCAATTTGGCATATTCAACTTAGTTACTGTCTAAACCTATAGCTTAGTTAACATGTCAACTTATTTCTGCCTAACACTTTACTTCTATTAAGCCTACTCTTCATAGCTTGCATCACCTCTATAGTTTATTATTTTATTTTTTGAGAAAAAGAAAATCAATTAGAAAACAGAGACAGTTGATACCTTACTTCATGACACGTCACCAAAAAGTCAGCAGGTCTTCTGGTATCTTCTCTCGAGTCAATTTCAGTAGAGCAGGCCTGCAGGCACATTCACATTTCACAAGCAGTGAAACTTTTTATGTAATAGAAACAGCAACAGCCAACCTTGAGCTATTTATATAAAAAGAAAGAACCTTCTAAACAATGTTTTAACTGCGATTAATTTGATGCATTAGAAGAGAAAGAGAAGAAGTGAAGAAAGTAGGTAAATAAAGTCAAATCGGTGTAAGATAGATAGGAGAGGCATGAGGGCAAAGGCAAAGGCCAACCCACGTTCCAATGCTGAAAATTTGTCATACTAAAATGTGCAGTGCAGCAACAGCTTAAAAAAAAAGCACACATCCCCATGTGAAAGTATCAAAAGACGTCTGGTCAGAGACTAATCACCCTACCCCAGTCTTAGTCATTTTGGTCTTCGCGTTCCCTTTTTCTGTTTTTCCAAGGTCACTTCCAATCTTACACAATATTGGTTTTAGGCTCTTTTGGAAACTCCTTTACACACCTCCTCCACCACACCATCATTACTTTCTTTATTTTTTTGTTTATTGTATTTTATAGAATTACAATGCAGAACCCGTCTACTTCTAGCAGTAGAGTAGCCTCACTCTCTTCTACCTACAAAAACCCTATAACGAAGTTTAACAAGTAAACTTAGCCTAAACATTAAGGTTGCTACATGATTGGTAAATCACTAAACCTATATCTTTATTATATAGAAAGTTTTAAATGGAGCCGCTGCGTCGGGCAACCCTAAACTTATATAGAAAGAAAAACATATTATAAAAATTGATCCAAAGGAACATCGGTCTCAGATTTGGGAATAAGTGATGTTTTATATGGAAATACGAGCTAGCCACCACTATATTTAACTTTACCTACTAATCAGCCATTTTTCGTATCATCATTGGCATTACACTATTTTAATCTTTCCATTTATTTCCACAGTATCTCTTTGCCCTAAGAGTTAAAGCTTATTGCTTTTGTTCACTAATACATTATATTTAACACACACACATATATATAATATATATAGAGATAGATAGGCCGCATTTCATTAAATCTCGTAAAAATGAAATAAGTTGAAAGTCTCTATGTGGTGGATTACCAAAGAAATAGCCGTCGCTGTGAAGACTTGTAAAGCCCCCACCACAGATTAAATTGTTCCTTCGTTTTCTTTCAGTTCCTTTTTCAGCAGCTGTCCCAATGCATCAATGCAAATGAGATAGCAATGTGACTACGTTATTCCTCCTGAAACTTCATATGAATTTCCTTTATACTTCTTTAACATCTTCTTAATGATTTAATTTCAAATATTTGGTTATTAATGCTTTTGTTTGTTTTTGTCTGTCTTAATCTAGAGACAAAAGCTAGCCCATCCTACAAATTCCAAAGAGGAAACGGTGAATGAATTATCCATGTACCATTGTACAGAGTGTAGTACAAAGCTCAGTCTTACACGTTACAAATTCCAATAAATGAAACAGTGTCTCAAAATCTGATTAGCTTTGCCTTTGCCTCAAAGTTTCCACTAGGAAATTGAAAACCAAACCAATGTCACTGTTTATGGATTATCATCTCCTGGTTGAGTACTGAGAATTTGAAATAGTTAAAAGCAAATTTTGTCCTGAAAGCTAATGTATAGAGTTGTTGCTGGGGGAGTGGGGTGCTTGGGAGATTGTTGGGAGGTGCATGAACATGGTGAACATAGAAATATAGAATGCCAATAGGGTAAATAAATCATTATCAGATTGACCAGAGATCCCCCCGGCCTCGAAGATTCTGTGTTTTCGGAAATACGTCAACTTCATCATGTGGACCCTCGCATCGTAACTTGAAAGATCTTTTTTCAATTTCAAGCCCTCTCCATATCATCACGGTACAATCAATCTCATCACCCATTACTCTTCATGTCAACACACAATAAAATATTTAGTTTGATGCGAGGGTTGTCCAGTCAATCACGCTTAACAGGTATGACCACTGACTGCAATGCACAGTGAGACCTCTATTACTATTATTCACTATTTGTTATTTGCTGCAATTTTTGCATGAATGAAAGACGTTTAACTTCTTTTTCAACACCATCTTGAAATGAGAATATCTTAGCTAGGTTTAGACCTAGAATCTGTCCAGGTCATGGCTGGACTAGTTTGGTTCTTCCACTGTTCTGAAGCAAGTGTTGATAAGGTAGGTAGGCCATGAAGATGTAATGGGAGATTGAATAGAGAGAAACTTGAGAGAAAAGTTGAATGCCATTTTGGGATAATTTACCGAATAAGAGAAACAAAGTTTGGAGACTGCAGACCAAATAATTTGACAAAAAGTTGCACAACAAGACAAATAACTTATAATGTGGGGACGTGGGATCAGTTCATGATTCGTGTCGGACTGAGAATTGAGGGACTCTTCAAAAAACTGGATCTAAAATTAATAATAAACGGCTTTCTGTATTATTAACAGTAATAATTTACCTCGAAATCGGGTCTCCTATCCTATCCCTTCTTTCTGGTTATAATATAAAGTTTTTTAACTTTTTATTATAATTTTACCTTTTTATCGTCCTCACCTGGGATTGGGAGACGAATCTTTTATCTTCCTGACTTGTTTGTTTTATTTACTTTGGGATTTGGGTTTTAATACTACCAGTTCACAACGTGTGACAGAGAAAGAACAGTTTTTGGTATTGCTGGGCCGATTGCCACGATGTTGGGTTGGCCTAATCCTAATTTAATTGCAGACGGGCCTTTTCATAAATTATGGCCCATTATTCAGCAAACCTAAATATCTGGAGAGGCCCAACGTAATAGTTTTCGGCGGTGTTTTCTCCTCAATCCTGATCAATTACAAAATCAAACAGCATAAACTGCAACTAAGCGATTAAGGAGAGATTAATTATTCTAACCTTATTGATACGATATATTGTACCTTTTCATGAGTAATCCCTTCAATATAAAAAGTACTGTAAAGGGGTTTACTTTGTTGCATAATTTATACTATTATCCCCAATCTGTAACTTGTGTTATAGGAAGGAAATCTAATTACGTCCTTAAAATTGGGTGGTCCTGTTCTCCAAATAGTCAAACAGATATCAATGGAGATATTTTCAGAGCAAATATGGTATAGTGACACTTTTTACTTGGTGCATTTGACCATTGGCATAAGTTTAAACTCACAGTCCCAGGCTGTCCCAACCCCCTTTATAGTAGTGAGCAACAATTAGTGATTAGTAATTGCAAGGTAGGTGAATTTGTAGATTTTTTCATTTTCCATTTATTTTTTCCTCCCAAGGAAGATAACACAATCAAGCTTTTGGCAAAACAGAGGGAGCATTCTATCCAATCAAACACCATAAAATGCCTATCCAACAGCCATGTCAGCACTATCTGGATCAAAGAATGAGTGGTTGTCTTGCTCCAAGCTTGGAAGAAGAACCATCTCCACATTCCAGTTAAAATTATCGATTTCTAATTATACCAAAATACTTAAAAAAAAAAAAAAAGCAACATAAACAAATAAATCAACACTCTTATCACACTGCATCTCTCCTAAAGAATCTCTCACAGGGCAACCTCAAGTGAAGTACTATCCTGTAGGGATTCAAAATCAATGGCCTCAACTCCCTCCACCACACTCTCTCTTCCTTCTTCATCAACCCTTGTGGATGCCAAGGCTCCTCGCCAGTCAGCTGCTGCCTCACCCCAATGTGTAACCCTCCCTACACTCCCACCGCCGCCTGTTCAGTCTCAAAATCGCCTCTGGAAGACAACTGCTTGTTGTTAGTCACCCTTCACCCATACCCTTCTTGTATCAAAGCATAAGTTTAGTGATGTGTTAATATATTAACATATAATCTTGAGTTTTCTTTTTCAGGTCGAAAGATTGCGCGCAATGTTATGGCTACGGCAACAGGAGAGGCTCCAGCTGAAGTTGCAGGAACTGAATTGCCAGAAATTGTCAAAACACTGCAGGACGCTGTGAGTTTCATACAGTTATCATTATTTACCCTCTGTTGTTGTATAGGAACTGAGTGATTTTAATTTTGAGAAAATTTATTCGTGGATGAACAGTGGGACAAAGTTGAAGATAAGTATGCCCTGACTTCACTTGCAGTCACTGGTGTCGTTGCATTGTGGGGCTCTACCGGGATGATTTCTGTGAGTCTCTCCTTCAGTTCTTTCTTTTTCCAATCATGATTTGGATTTGCATGTAATTGACTTCTCAAACATGAATTTGTAAATTGGATTGTGAAAAATTGGTATCATTTTTAACAGGCAATTGATAGGCTTCCTTTAGTTCCTGGCGTACTTGAGCTGGTTGGCATTGGCTACACTGGGGTAAGTTGAATTAAGTTTGCTATCCTATTCAAGCATTGGTTTTTGCAAACAGCATCTATCTTGATCTCATCTCCTATGACAACGCCTTACCTTGACTGAGTTCTAGCTTCAGCGATGCTAAATTTACATGACATTATATATAATCTCATTGTTCTGCCTCGTGATTAGAGTGACACGGTTGCCTACATATTATGGTCATAGATGATGTTGAAAGAAAATGAATTATGTTGTTGATGCTTTACTATTCTCTTTACTTGCAGTGGTTTGCATACAAGAACCTGATTTTCAAACCAGAGAGGTACATCATTTTGTTTTCATACTCAAACAAACAAGTTTATTCTAGAATTTGGTATTGTGTAAAAGTATATCTGCTAACCAAACATGTTCAACAAATTTCAGGGAAGTATTTATACAGAAAGTAAAGGACACATACAGGGATGTAATCGGAAGCAGCTGAAGGAAAACCAACTAATAATGCTGCTGATAAGATGTGGTAGACTTCAAATTTTTTTCACGCAAATATCTTGCAGCATTAATGCACGAGGATGTAACCTTGCTTCTTCTGTTCACCCCCGTTTCTAACCAGAGTAAGGCCCTTGTATTGTAATTGTACTGTTTTAATCCTTTGAAGATACATGTAGCCAAATATTTCAATTGCCTTTTTTTAGCACTATATTATGCTCATGGTCAACTTTCTTTCATTATTTCGAAGTAAACAATAAGTAAATCTAGACTGGTTATTATTTTACCAAAAATTGAAAAAGGGTAATTGTGGCGACAGCACATAAAAATCACACAATTATTATTTTTATTTAAACAATAGAATCCTCGCCCACTGGATATTACAACTACAGAAACAGATTACTCTCTCTATTTATAAAATTCCATAACCCAGAAATTACAAACAAAGCATTCGTATCTAATGCCACTAAATCCAGCCTCAGTTGCTAAGGCCATGAATTCATGTTTTGTTCGCTCCTTTCCTCCTGGATTTTGAGTCATCATAACCACATCAGTTTGGGAAACTGCCTTCGATGTAACTTTTGTATCAGCCATTACAGGTAGTATTCCCTCCACAACAATTACTTTTCCATCCACTGGAATACTTTTGTAGCAATTCTTCAATAACTTCAAGCAATGTTCATCACTCCAATCATGAAGTATCCACTGTCAATTTTCATTTCCATTAATTACAAAAATACTCATTTCATTCATGAATAAAATACAATAAACAAATATTTTATTACCTTCATAAAAATGGCATCACCTTTTGGAACACTTTCGAACATATCTCCCCCTACATGTTCTATACCTGTAACGCAACTCCTTTGTTATGTCTCGCTCATTCTAACAATATATTGTTGAATTAATAAATTATAATTAAAAATATAGATACATCTTACCAGGATATTGAGGAGCATGTTGAATAACATGAGGTAAGTCAAAATTAATAGCCGTAACATGGGGGTATCTAGAAGTAATAGCTTTAAGGGTAATTCCAAGACCACCGCCCACATCCACCAGCTGCTTGATGCTCTCAAATCCCTTGTAAACTTGAAGGATTTCATTAATAACAATAGTAGTATGATTGAACATTGCACTGTTGAAAACTTCATTGAATCTTGCGTCTAGGCCTGGATACTCAAATGCGTGCGTTCCATGAACCCTATCAAACGGAACTCCTCCTTCAAGCACTGCATCTTTCAGTTGTGCCCTGATTCAATATAATTAATTGCGGTTAGATTATACAATTAAATTGCCTGAGAACATTAATTCCTAATATGCATGGCGACATAATTAAACAAAAATTCTTACTTATAAAGTGAAAAGATTAATGCCTCATCTAATTCTAATGAAAATTAGATAACATGAAATGAATTAATTGAGAATATAGTACCAGCTATCCATGAAGACCTTATCCTGGATTAAAGCCATTAAGGGGCTCAATGACACACCATTTTGATCACGTACAAAATACTTAGAAACAGGGGCCAAACCGTAGAGTCTCTCCAAACCAACCACATAGCATGTAAGAACACTATGGCTAGACAGAAGCCTGAGTATCCGATCCACCATCATTGGCGCGTCTTTGCTCTGAGCGGACATCTGAGATGCAATCTCTGAAGCAGAGAGCTTTGCACCAGGACCAGCTTTTGCAATTATTTCAAAAATGTCAAGATCGATTGCTGCTTTCAAGGTCATTGGTAGCACTGAACCCGTCGCCAGTTGAATCGCATAAGCAAAGCTTTCTTCTTTCTCTTCATCATATCTGATAGCTGAAGAACTCATTTTCTTCAACTTCAATTGATGATGGAAATGAAAAAAGTGGGTGAGTGAGTGCAGAGTTAAGAAAAGATGGACCAACTTATTTCAATAATTCACCGGGGACACGTAAAAAGCAAGAATGATTGTTTTTCGTGTTTGTGTGTGTGTTAACGTTAGTTACTGTTAGATATAGTTGTGGAGTTGTTACAACTTGGGTTAATATTTGTATTAGTTACTAATCAGAATTAGTGTTTGCTGAGTTAGTTCTGTAAGTATAAAACAGTATACAAATTACATTTTTCTTTCCCAAACTTCACGCTTCAACAGTATGGAGTCACGTTGGATTAGCATTTAGCAATTTAATAACCCAAATTTTAAATAATTTTAACTAACCGACAAGGAACTGACAGTAATTTATAATAAAATTTTAATAATATATAATATTATCTATTTTAAGTTTAGTACTAGAGTAATGCAGGATGCAAAACTCTCCATTCAAGGATCTCATCTCACATTATGAGATCGTCACTCCACGTATCGAGTAGTGAGTTTACTCTTTCTTATACCAATTGAAGTTGTAACATCCAAGTCTTATAAAATAGATATTATCCATTTGGATCTTGATCAACATATGTTTCACACAAACGTTTTTCACTTAAATGCATCTATTTAGTTACAAGGATCCCATACAAATTAGACTGAAGCGTTTCTCTATATTGTTCTATACACATGGGATAGAACTCACCTAGAAAATCGAATTCTTAAAAACAGGGTATCCAAATATTAACTAGTCCAATTACCTCGCTCTTTACGTGAAAACCTAAAATATAAGTAAACAAAAGGTAAACAATGTGTGTTCTCTCTGTGGTCTCATGTTTGAATCACAAAAACAGTTGTTAATATTGTTGACCACGGACCGTAAAATTTATCCTATTTCAAAAGTTTTATTTAGGGTTGAAAGATTAATCGAGGTGCACATAAATTGACTCAAATATCCCCAATAACAAAAAAAGAAAAAAGAAAAATGTAAATAATATGCACCCTCTAATTAATATTGCTATTCAATCAAAAGAATTTAAGTCATGTCAGTTTTGTTTGCGTGGAGGAGATTATTATCACTGATTTGACCACACTCACTGAATCACATTATACACGAGTTCCTTTAACCAAAAAGTGAAATCCATGAAAATTTATATTAATATGCCATTTTGATAAGAATTGCTAAAAAGCTACTCCTGATAAAGATGGGCGTTTGCCCCGACCTTGCGGGGATCCATCTTGACTTGGCCTGAATGAGTCGGAAAATCCCTAAAAAAAATGGGGATAGGACCAGGGATGGTCCTCAGTAAAATCCCCACATCTGGGGATGGGTCGGGGAAGGGGATAGTGCAATCCCTGCCCCGGCCCCATGGAGCCCCACTTGTTTTAGAATTTTATGTTTTTTTTTTTCCCTTTACGAGATTTTATATAAAGTTAAAGTTTAAATCATGATTTTAAATAATGTATCTAAATTTATAATATTTACTTTTATAATATTTTCTAATGTTTGTATTAAATTTATAGAAAAAAATTTAAACGAAGGAGTCTAATAATTAAATATATGTATTATTACTTTGTGAATTTCACAAAATAATAATACATGGGACATGACCCAAAAATAAATTTAATTAGATTATTACAATTTACAAACCAATATAAGAATATATACAATTGCTTAACGACTTACAAATTACATAAATTCAATTATCATTGTAATTAATTAATTGATCAAATAAATATAATGTTAAACTTAATCAAATAATGGGATTTGTCCCTTTCACAAATGGACTAATTTTATTAGTTGTAGTGGAGATAGACTTTAGTTTATGTATTACTTTTTAAATCTTAATTTGAATTTTATAAGAAATTGTTCACTTTATATTTCTTACCTTAAATTATGTCTTTTTAATAAATTAACTACTGAAATTAAATAGTCAAATATAATACCTATCAACGTGCTAATTTTTCATAATTAAAATAATTAAATATTATTGTTACGAAAAGTTTTGATTTATATGGGGCAAAAATCCTCGTTCGAGGGATAAATCCTTGCGAAGCCCTATTCATTGGGTCGGACTGGGACGGGGATGGGAGGGATTTTGTCCCCACGGGCCAAGGATGGTCTTGAGAAAAATCCCTGCCTGTGGGAACGGGCCTAGGAAAGGGTAACGTGGATGGGGCCGGGCCATGGGGTCCCCGGCCCTTACCCGGCCCGCACCCATCCCTAATTCCTAATGATGGAAAGGTAACTATTATAGATGGAGTGATTGAAATGAGTTTCTTATGGATGCAATAATGTTGACTCTAGTTGAGGTCGGAAAGGAGCGAACCAAAAAGGAATTCACCACATTGGCAACTGCAGCTGGATTTATGTTAGGGCCAAAAATTGTCTTGGGCTTGACGAGGCCCAATAACGAAATAAACATGTCATGCCTCAAGGCCTCAACCCAATCCAAATTGGGCCTATGCTTAAAATCATTTTGTGAACTACCCACTCTATGAGTTGGGTTATCCTATGAGTTAAGCTCAACTGAGTTTCAGCCCATTAGCCTGCAACAGTCTATAAATAAGAAATCAGAATCTCATTCTATTTCCTCTTCTACTAAGATTCCAAATCTTATTTAAACTATTAAACTTAATCTGATAAGTTCAAGAAATCATATCTCTTTCATGATAGAGATTATTTCCCAAAATAGGACTTAGTGTCCCACTAAGATTCCAAATCTTTTTTAAACTATTAAACTTAATTTGATAAGGTCAAGAAATCATATTTCTTTCTTGATAGGGATTATCTTCTAAAAAAGAGGACTCAATGTCCTACTAGGATTCCAACCCCTTGGATTTACTATAAAAACAGAGGTTTGCCTTCTCATTAGGCATGCAATCTCCCATAGTAAATCTACACTACTTAAAACCATCTATTTGCTTATAAAGTTCTTACTCCCAAGAACCTGACGCCTCCGTCGTAGTCCTAGCTTCCGACAAGACTCCTGATAATTCTTCATCTTCTTAATTCTTATCAAATAATCTCTTTCAACCTCGCTGACTTGAGCGTCGGAGTGCCTACGACAAACACCACCCCGGTGTTTTCCGAAAGCTTCATGCTTACCCTTTCATGTGTGTAGGTCTAGCGGATTGTCAGTGGCCTCAACCTCACGGGATCAGACCCTATTTTATGACAGTAGATTTTTTGCATCTACAGTTTGACGCCCACCATGGGGCCTTGACAATCATCTGCCAACAACAACTTGCAACATGAGAGGAGACACATAACTCCCTCTGACTGGCATCGTTAACCCGAAAATCTCATAACGATAAGAAAATTTTTCGTTAATTTTCTTTATTTTAAATCCATTGAAAGTATCTAGGAATAATTCACATGTCATATTATGTCTATTAAGCATGGAATGTGATAACTTGAAGCATCAAAACACATCTCCCGTGTTCATAATTTGTTATGCATTAGTTGGAATATTGGTCACTTTTCGTATGTGTTTAATTTCTTTTTGGAAGGTATTTCATGTCCTAAAAACTCTCACATCTCTTGGGCATGTTATCGAGTGTGTAAAAAAAGAAAAAAAAAAAAAGTTCAATAGAAAGACAACAATGTGATCCATCTCATTTAGGTCCATGAAGTAAGATATACTTAATTTTTACTTCTACGCGTTTTGCAATATCGAACATGGAAAAAAGCAATTGCCGTACTATTTACCGTTTACTTTGATCTGCAAAATATATGGCCAACATTTTGGGATTGATAATGAAGTAGCTTTATCTTAGTTATAGATATATTGATACTCAAGACCATATACTTTTGGTTCAGACTTGATCATTTCTTCTCATAGATCAAGTGTTTAACACTGTTATGTGCAGCTCTCTCTCTCTCTCTCTTTCTCTCTCTCTCTCTTTGTGAGTGCATATGTGTGCCTATCTTGACACTTGTGTCTGTAATAAACCATGTTATTTGAACATTTTTGTCTTTTGGATTAATTTGTGCTAATGATGAATGAGACTTTATTTACTGTAATTCCTCCTTGATCAAGTATTTGGGAGACTTGATACCAGACCTACTACTATTGCACAAACCAAACATCCCAATTGATTATGTTAATTTCAGGATGGCAGTGGCGGTGTAATAATTTGGTTCTTCTCCTACCAATTACATTATCGATGTCACCGGGAAACAGCCAGTACATTTATCTTATTGTCAATACTCCGCATTCTTGTTAAAATCAACAGGTCCTGCAAATCTTCACAAGGCCAACAAAATTGCCCACTTGTATTGACCAAGAATAAAGAAACACAGGGCAGCCATCAGACTTTTGCTGAACCTCTTGGCTCCAAACACCCACTTTCTTCTCCAAAATCCACCAAACAACCAAGCAAAGAAATTAGAAAGTTTACTTTGGAAAAAGCGACTGGAAAACTTCGTTAGAAAAACACAAGAGAGGATGAATTTTTTTCGCAAAATACGAAATCGGAAAGAAGATGGATTAGAAGAGATAAGGAATTGCTTATTGCTCCATAAATGTTTGACATTTCAAAATGACATGTGTCAACTTCATGTTGCGTCTTGAAAAAGAAAATCACATTTTTTCCGTCTACTGGATAATGAGTTTTTTATTGAGACATGACCACCATGTGGGGGACCACGTGTAATGGGAAGTAAAACCATTTTAAGTGTGGTTCATGTGAATCCATTCTCGAGTAGAGGAGCAGAGCGAAGTCAGTCGCACTAATACATCAACCATTGCCATTTGCATCTGCATTAATTAAAATGCACAATATTTAATCAGCTCGGCTCTTTTGCCTTATTATGTTACAATCGGTCATTCGGCATAGCTCAATCAAACCACTCTGGCACATTTAGCGTGCACACCATTTTTCCCCGGTATGTTTTACTTAAAACTTCATTTTGCTCCGTTTTTACCAATCACATAGTAGAAACATTCACCCCCATATTTCTATTTCTTTCTCTATTTGACTTATTATTTCATTTGGTTTATTACACATGAACACCATTACACCACGCATATTAACTTTCCATTCGGCTCTTTGCTTAAAACATGCATGTCATGCAAATCACTGCTCCAACTTCAATCAAAAGGTTTCAACTACAAGTCGATCACGCCGACTCGACCGCAAGCTTCATACAAGCTCTACTTGGCATACACCTTCGGATTGGCTCTGCCCGATCCATAGATTTATACCTTCGGATCGACCCTGTTCGATCCACGGATTTATACCTTCGGATCAACCTTGCCCGATCCACGAATTTACACCTTCGGATCGACCCTGCTCGATCCACAGATTTACTCATTCGGATCGGCCCTGCCCAATCCATAGACTTACACCTTCGGATTGACCCTGCTCGATTCACAGGTTTACACCTTCGGATCAACCCTGCTCAATCCACGGATTTACACCTTCGGATCGACCCTGCTCAATCCACGGATTTACACCTTTGGATTGGCCCTGCCCAATTCACGGATTTACACCTTTGGATTGACCCTGCTCGATCCACGGATTTACACCTTTGGATCGACCTTGCTCGATCCACGGATTTATACCTTCGGATCAACCCTGCCCGATTCAAGAATTTACACCTTCGAATCGACTCTGCTCGATCCACGGATTTACACCTTCGGATCGACCCTGCCCGATTCAAGAATTTACACCGTTGGATCGACCCTGCTCAATCCACGGATTTACACCTTCGGATCGACCTTGCCCGATTCACGGATTTACACCTTCAGATCGACCCTGCTCGATGCACGGATTTACACCTTCGGATCGACCCTGCTCGATTCACGAATTTACACCTTTGGATCGACCTTGCTCGATCCACAGATTTACACCTTCGGATCGGCCCTGCCCAATTCACGGATTTACACATTCGGATCGGCCCTACTCAATCCACGGATTTACACATTCGGATCAGCCTTGCCTGATTCACGGATTTACACCTTCGGATCGGCCTTGCCCGATTCACGAGTTTACACCTTCGGATTGGCCATGCTCGATTCACGGATTTACACCTTCGAATCAACCCTGCTCGATCCATGGATTTACACCTTCGGATCGGCCTTGCTCGATTCACGGATTTACACCTTTGGATCGACCCTACTCGATCCACGGATTTACACCTACGGATCGGCCCTGCCCGATTCACGGATTTACACCTTCGGATCGGCCCTGCCCGATTCACGGATTTATACCTTCGGATCGACCCTGCCCGATCCACGGATTTACACTTTCAGATCGGCCCTACCCGATCCACGGATTTACACCGCAGATTTACACCTTCGAATCGGCTCTGCCCGATTCACAGATTTACACCTTCGAATCGACCCTGCCCGATTCACGGATTTACACCTTCAGATTGGCCCTGCTTGATTCACGAGTTTATACCTTCGGATCGGTCCTGCCCGATTCACGAGTTTACACCTTCGGATCGGCTCTGTCCGATTCACGAGTTTACACCTTCAAATCGACCCTGCCCGATTCATGAGTTTACAACTTCAATCGACCTAGACCGATTTATAGATTTACACATTCAATCGACCCAGACCGATTGAAGAACTTGCACCTCAAATCGACAAGTCATCAACCTAATCCACACAACGATCCATTCGACCTAACGAGCCGCTATCACTAATCCGCTCAGTTTGCATTCATTTAATTAAATCTACTCTCTAAGCTAAATACTCTTTAACTTAGAAAGTGTGGGGCTAACTGTTAGGGCCAAAAATCATCTTGGGCTTGACGAGGCCCAATAACGAAATAAACATGTCACGGCCCAAGGCCTCGAGGCCCTCAACTCAATCCAAATTGGGCCTACGCTTAAAATCACCTTGTGAACTATCCACTCTATGAGTTGGGCTATCCTATGAGTTAAGCTCAACTGGGTTTCTGCCCATTAGCCTGCAATAGTCTATAAATAAGAAATCAGAATCCCATTTTATTTCCTCTTCTACTAAGATTCCGAATCTTATTTAAATTATTAAACTTAATCTGATAAGGTCAAGAAATCATATCTCTTTCATAATAGGGATTATCTCCCAAAATAGGACTTAGTGTCCCACTAAGATTCCAAATCTTATTTAAACTATTAAACTTAGTCTGATAAGGTCAAGAAATCATATTTCTTTCTTGATAGGGATTATCTCCAAAAAAAGAGGACTCAATGTCCTATTAGGATTCCAACCCCTTGGGGTTCACTATAAAAACAGAGGCTTGCCCTCTCATTAGGCATGCAATCTCCCATAGTCAATCTACACTACTCAAAACCATCTATTTACTCCTAAAGTTCTTGCTCCCAAGAACCTGACACCTCCGCCGTAGTCCTAGCTTCCGACAAGACTCCTGATAATTCTTCATCTCTTTAATTCTTATCAAATAATATCTTTCAACCTCACTGACTTGAGCGTCAGAGTGTTTATGGTAAACACCACCCTGGTGTTTTCCGGAAGCTTCACGCTCGCCCTTTCATGTGTGCAGATCCAACGGATTGTCAGTGACTTCAACCTCACGGGATCAAACCTTATTTTCATGACGGTAGATTTTTTGCATCTACAATTTACTATTTAGAGATGTCAAATTCCAATGCCGTTCATGCAATTTGTATGTGATGGAGTTTCTCAAGTAGCTACCTCATGCTTAATCTATCCTTTTATCCTACCAACAATAATATCATATCACCAAGCCAATAAAAAAACTTCAACTGCAATGTCGCTTGCTGTTGTATTAGTTGGGGCATAATAAATGTGATAAATTTATGTAACAGCCTTTCATAAGCTGATTATTGGATATCATATAATTTTATATGTGTATATACATAATGCGTATCAAGTGGATCCCATTTATGATATGCTTTATTTAATCAGTTGTTGTAATAGGATGCACCACAAAAAACACGTTGACGGTGTTTAATTTAATGTACAAGTCACATTCAAAAAATAAAATACACTCCACCAATTACTTAATTTTTTTCCGTTGGTTGGAAAGCTCGCCATTGCAGTGAATCCTAAATCATCACAACAGAAGTAAACTACGCGCACAAAAGTATGAAGGTTGAATTTGACAGCGTGAACACGTGAAATCCATGAAAATATAAAAATATAATTTTCAATTAATAAATGACTGAAATATAATATTCAATTTTATATTAATTGATTGTAAAGAAGATGCGTGTGATACAAATTGAATATATGGTATAAAACCATGTGAAAACCATTGTGATTTTTTAAAGAGGGTGAACTGTAATAATCATGTGATATTGTAGAATTTTTGCAATATGTGTTCAGATTTGAAACGACGTAGTATCTTTTATTCATGTGTCTCGGGAAGTTGGAACGGAGCCTAAATCGCCTAATAACTTAATAAGTTCTTTAGTTGGCATTGTACATATAATCACTGATCTTACATCCTTTAAACTTCATATTCCAAATTAGTTAAAGTGATTATTATCACAGAACAAGCTCAAAGTCTTATACCTAAAAATTGGGCAATGCTCATTGGAAATACATTGTGTTAAATAACAAAGTTTAGTTAAGGGAAACCCCATGCTTCTCGTCTCAAGCTCAAGGATTCGAGGTTGTAATCTTAAACATGTCCAAACATGTCTCGGTTGCAAGCCCCCGGTTCCAGAATTTCTTGTAGTAATCACTGTATGCAAAGTTCCTATACAGGGGAGGATGATGATCGTTGATCAGATGTGGCGCCGGTAACGTCACAGCATCAGGTGATGGACAATAAAAGGTTGGGATTGAGATCCTCTCCTTGTTGCTATTCACTATGGCTCGATGTAACACACTCTTGTATCGATCGTTGCTGATCACCTACACACAGCAACAGGGCAACCAGCAAATTTATCATTTGAAATGACTAATTGATAAATGTAATTGTATTTCATCAACTCCCTAAGCTCAAGAAAATTAAATGGATGACTACGTTGTTTAATTCATATTCTTACGGCAGCCCACGTTGTCCCCATGCTGCAAGCTAATTTAGAAAATTGAAACAAGAAGTTTGAATTAATTGCCAGTCTAAAAGAATACAAGTTTAATGTAGAGCCCTGATGATTACCTGCATTTGATCACCGATATTGACAATGAAGGTGTTTGAAATTGGAGGGACGGCGAGCCACTTGCCATCTTTTAGCACCTGCAAACCTGGGACGTTATCTTGAAGGAGAATGGTGATTAAATTAGGATCAGCATGGCCAGGTAACCCGTAGGTAAGCTCTGGTTGCGGACATGGAGGATAGTAATTTATTGCCATGTGCTGCCCATGCTTGCCCAGTGCTTTGTTTATATAATCCCTTTCCAGGCCTAGGCTCTCCGAGATGGCTTCAAGCAGTCTCAGTGCTAACCCTCTAGCGTTCTTGCTGTACTCAGCAACATCCTCTCTGTGAAACAAAAAAAAAAGTTAGAATGGGAACAGATTGAAATTGTAATATATATTAAAGCAGGTATGTGGCATATCTCTAATGATACTTTCTCTAATACCTGTATAATACCTGAAAGATGGAGGGTTGGTTGGCCATTCGTGTATGTAATCCTCTAAAGGGTGGCAGTGGATTCTTAAGAAATCTCTCCAGTTGGATACTTTTTCAGTTTTTACATTAAAACTAGTGGAGAGTCTCGTTGTCTTCATAGGATCATCGGAGTAATTCTTCATTCTTTCACTCTCAGGCAAATGGAAAAAGTCCCTTGACAGGCACAACATCTTATCTATCACCTCTTCTGGAATCCCATGGTTTTTGACCTTTACAAAGATGATCATTAGGATAACTTTTAACAGCAAAACCCTGATATATAAATTTTCCATCATGTGTGCGCACGTTTGATAATATATATACATATACCTGAAAGAAACCATACTCCTGGCAAGCTTGGCCTATCTCTTTGACAACATCAGAACGGTTTGAGCCATCGAGGCCTTGGAGATCAATCAGAGGAATTGGATTGCCAAGAGAAACTTCATCAATATTTGGACGGTCGGATATGGGTCGGATGTAGTTTGAGGGAACAGAACTTACACCAGATACGAGGTCAGATAATAGTTGCTTTGTGGTAGCCATTACACCTTGCAAATGTTTTCTTGGTGTTACTGGATGGCTTTTTTCTTTGAGGGAGAGTGACCTTATAAATGTAGAAAGCCTAATTTGTACACGCGAGACTCGACAAATTCACGAAATCACGAGTATAGTGAATGAAATAAAATATATTGCCTTGAAAACAGGAAAGAAAGTCTTAAAAACAGGAAGGATTCATTCGTTACATGCTATTTCTGATAAAAGAAAATAAATAAAATTGTAAATGAAGAGGAAGCAGCCATGAATTGTAACCATATCTGGCCTCATTTGCCTCAAAAATCCATGTGGCTTTCATAGAGTTATGCAGTTACTCATTGAACATTGATGTCACCACAGTTGCTGTCATCAATTACCATATTGTGACATCTATTACTGATTTTAACTCTTTGCATTTCAGAAACTCCCGTTTGGGACGGGAAAGGACAATCAAGATTGGCGTTGCCATTTAAAATTTTTAATGTTGGAGTCCGTCCTTCCATATATGAAATCTTGGTTAGTAAAGTTAGTTGTTACTCCAAAAATAGAATTATCAATAACAGCTATCCTGCAAAAATAGATGCTATATTAGGCGCTAATAACCTGAAGCCCCGTGACTTACAAGTATGCCTTAAGCAAAATGATTTCAGTTTACTCAAGATTAAAAAATTGATTCTTGAACATATCGGTGATATAGCGTTTGCTTCTTTGTGATTGGAGAATATGATCAAAATGGGCAAAGTCCATATTAAATTGGCCCATTGAATCCAACAAAGCCCACCTAAAGTTCTAATTTGTAATATTGCTCGGCCCACTATCTCTAATGAACTTTCGCGTTTCAGCCTAGAAAAATAACTTTTGATTTTGGGATCCTAGGGGTCTGTTTAGGAGTTTTTTTTCACTGGTTTTGAGGGGTTTTTAATTAGACTGATTTTAAGATATTCTAAAACTATTATTTGCCAGATTTTTTATACACTATTTTTGACTAGCTCAAAAATCCTCTAGAATCAGTGTAATGTATTTTTGAGGGGTTTATTTTAGTTGGTTTTAAAATTTAATTTCACAAATACCCTATCCACTATAGAACTATCCCAATTATATCCAAAAAAAATAAAATAAAATTAAACATATTATGCATGTCTCCAACCATATTAAATATAAAATAATTTTAAGTAATCATAAAAAAAAATTATTAAAATCTCATTTTTAGATGTTTTCTTGGAGAAGTAGAATTATAATTTTTCAATCATTCCAAATATTGTAAAGAAGGTCGAAGAAGGATAAGGAGACTTTATCACATTTGAAGTTATAAAATACTAATAAGTAGAAAACAAATAAAGAACTCTTACCTTGTAATTGAAAAAACAAAACTCTCAAGTACCGGTTGAAGTTGGGGTATTTTTTATGGATATATATGTAAATTCATCATTTTAAAAAACTGTTAGTACCATTAGAAAATAAACTCTCAAGCACAAGTTATATGTTTTAAAAATCGTTACTAAAAATCCCTCAAAACCATTACGGTGGTTGTAGACCTAAGCGGTCTTATTCCTTATCTCATTTCCTTAAAGTGTCTTATGCTTCAAGTTCATGTCACTCGCAATTGTTTTAAAGGCACTTTTATGTATGTGTAGGGTTTTTATAAATAAAGTTATAATAATTATAAAAGGGCTATCTATTTTTTTACTTACCAATTATAAAATAACTGTTGAGGGATGTTTTCTTGAATTCTTATTTTATTTTATTGCAAGTTTGTTGAATGGATTTGTCAAAAAGGTTAACTAGACATATCTTTCTTTCCCGAGAAGATCAAGATGACTTTTTTTTTTTTTTTTTTTTTCCACTGGTTTTGAGAGGTTTTTTATTAGTCTGGTTTTGAGGTATTTTAAAATTATTACTTACAAGATTTTTTATGCATTGGTTTTAACTGGCTCAAAAATCTCCCAAAACTAGTGTAATGTATTTTTTAGGGGTTTATAAAACACCCAAAAATAGGGTGTTTTGATTAGTTTTAAAATTTTATTCTACAAATACCCTATCCATTACAAAACTATCCCAATTATATCTAAAAAATTTTTTTAACCATATCATGCGCGTCTCCAATCATATTAAATATAAATTAATTTTAAGTAATCATATAAAAAATTTATTAAAATCTAATTTTTAGATGTTTTCTTGGAGAAATAGAGCTACAATTTTTCAATTATTTTAGATGCAGTAAAGAATAACGAATAAGGATAAGAAAATTTTATCACATTTAAAATTATAAAGTACTAATAAATAGAAAACAAATAAAGAATCCTTACTTTGTAATTGAAAAAACAAAACTCCTAAGTATTGGTTGAAGTTGAGGTATTTTTATGGGCATATATATAAATTTATCGTTTTAAAAAGCTGTCAAAACCGCTAGAAAATAAACTCTTAAGCACATGTTGGGTGTTTTAAAAACCGCTACTAAAAACCCATCAAAACCGTTACGATGATTTATCCTCGTAACCACTACCATGAAACTCTTAAGAAGACCTTTAAAGTAAGAAAGACCTTTTCATTTTCTTTTCCCCTACAAAACAAAATTATTGCATTTCTGTTTTAACAAATACTTAACTGATTTTGTTGGAATTCAAACGAACTTAAATAATGTATTTTTCTAATAACCCAATTAAAAACTATTACTCTTAGCTATATTTTTGGGTCATTGTATAACATTGGAAATATAAATATATATACGCGGAATTATTGTAAAATAGTAACATTGGAGAATCTAATATTTTATTATTGCAAAGTTTTAGGTTATTCAAGATATTGTAAATGGCTGCACAAATCATGAAGAATTTTGATTAAAGCTTAGTTAAAAAATCTTAAAAATAAATAAATAATTTAAAAAAAGGACTATCAAGTAGACATTTCTAGTAACTACTGACGTTTTACACCAGCTTAATCATTTCAAACAACCTATGGGTCAAATAAAATAGGCTCTCGTTGACCAACCGCACGAACCGCAAAACTAGCACTGTAATAGAATATCCCTCGTGGGGCTTCAACCAAAGATTACCAGCCTCCACTTCTATAAAACCGCCACGTACCAGTCTCCACTGCCATGCTGCCGAAAAGCCATCCGCTTTCCTTACTTGTCCGTACTAAGGTGACCGGATAAAGACGGTAGTCTGCTGTAAGCCACGTCATAGAAGGGCCCACGAGTCACAGCTGGAGGCGCTTTTGCGGGCTTAACCTCACTCTATGGAAACTTGTGGCGGAGATTTGAAGATGCAACAACGGGTGAAGGGAAAAAATATAATAGGAAAAGTGCACGGGTAAGATTTAAGTTAATTAGCCACTATGTTTTCGCCACTTGGCATGATCCAGTGATCCTTCCTCTCCATCTCTCCAGTGACCCCTTCATTCTTTTGTAGCCTCAAATAAAATTTGGGGAATTTTTTAGAAAAAAAAATCCACAAGAAATTATAGTGGCTGAGATTGCTCCTAAGTTTCCCAACTTGTGTGGTTTTTGGACTTTCAGGTCTCAGTTCTCACAACACACGTCTTTCACTTCCGCTTCTTTTCTCTTGAGAATTTTAATTAGTGTTTCTTTTGCAGTGCTCTGATTAAAGTGTTTTCGATTCAGATCCACCATTGCAGCCAACGATGAGTTCTCCGACTAGTTGCCGGTGAATTGGGTATATGGTTGATCACAAACTTTATTGATGCTTTCAGACTGCACATACTCCATGGCTTTCACCAAAGGTACTCTTTACATATTTCTGTACTTTTTACTTCAGTTACTTCTCCGTTTGGTCGCCGAGAATATTCACTATAAAGGAACAAAAATTAATTTTCGAGAACTTTTTTTTCGATCAATAATTGATGATGAGATTTGAAGTTTATTTTTTCATTTCCTTACTTAGTACTTTTTCTCGGCAACCAAAGAGAGAGGGTTAAAGTATTATGCGAAGGAATGTATTTTGTGCTGGCATGTGGTAAGTAGATGCAGAAATGGCTGTTTAATTACTGATTCGAGTTTTTTTTTTCTCTGTTTTCTTTTTCGTATTTTAAAGGTTTTGGCGTCTACGGGTTCGTTTTGGTGAGGATTCTGAATAAAGGAATTTTCTTTTAAGTTCTTTCGGAGAAGCGTCTCTGTCTCTCTGTGTTCTGGTGGATTCCAAAAATTTCTCAAATAATTTAGCATTAATTAATTTTATACTTTGTGTAATTATATGCTACTTTCCAATCTTCAGTGAATGTGAATTGGAATGCTTATTGTGCTGAAACCAAATTAAACAAAGATTTGCCAGTCTAAAAAATACAAGTTTAATGTAGAGCCATGATTACGCATTTGATCACCAATATGGACATGAAGGTGTTTGAAATTGGAGGGACGGCGAGCCCCTTGCCATCTTTTACACCTGCAAACCTGGGACGTTTATCTTGAAGGAGAATGGTGATTAAATTGAGCAGCATGGCCAGTACCCTAGGTAAGCTCTGGTTGCGGACATGGAGGATAATAATTTATTGCCATGTGCTGCCCATGCTTGCCCAGTGCTTTGTTTATATAATCCCTGTCCAGGCCTAGCTCTCTGAGATTGCTTCAAGCAGTCTCAGTGCTAACCCTCTAGCGTTCTTGCTGTACTCAGCAACATCCTCTCTGTGAAACAAAAAAAAGTTAGAATGGGAACAGATTGAAATTGTAATATAATTAAAGCAGGTATGTGGCATATCTAAATGATACTTTGTATAATACCTGAAAGTGAGGGTGGTTTGCCATTCGTGTATTAATCCTCTAAAGGGTGGCAGTGGATTCTTAAGAAATCTCTCCAGTTGGATACTTTTTCAGTTTTTACATTAAAACTAGGAGAGTCTCGTTGTCTTCATAGGATCATCGAAGTAATTCTTCATTCTTTCACTCTCAGGCAAATGGAAAAAGTCCCTTGACAGGCATAACATTATCTATCACCTCTTCTGGAACCCATGGTTTTTGACCTTTACAAAGATGATCATTAGGATAACTTTTAACAGAAACCCGATATATAAATTTTCCTCATGTGTGTGCACGTTTGATAATATATATACATATACCTGAAAGAAACCATACTCTTGGCAAGCTTGGCCTATCTCTTTGACAACATCAGAACGGTTTGAGCTATCGAGGCTTTGAGATCAATCAGAGGAATTGGATTGCCAAGAGAAACTTCATCAATATTTGGACGGTCGGATATGGGTCGGATGTAGTTTGAGGGAACAGAACTTACACCAGACACGATGTCAGATAATAGTTGCTTTGTGGTAGCCATTACACCTTGCAATGTTTTCTTGGTGTTACTGGATGGCTTTTTTTCTTTGAGGGAGAGTGACCTTATAATGTAGAAAGCCTAATTTGTACACGCGAACTCGACAAATTCACGAAATCACGAGTATAGTGAATGAAAAAAATATATTGCCTTGAAACAGGAAAGAAAGTCTTAAAACAGGGAGGATTCATTCGTTACATGCTATTTCTGATAAAGAAAAATAAAATGTAAATGAAGAGGAAGCAGCCATGAATTGTAACCATATCTGGCCTCATTTGCCTCAAAAACCATGTGGCTTCATAGAGTTATGCAGTTACTCATTGAACATTGATGTCACCACAGTTGCTGTCATCAATTACCATATTGTGACATCTATTACTGATTTTAACTCTTTGCATTTCAGAAACTCCCGTTTGGGACGGAAAAGGCACAAGATTGGCGTTGCCATTTGAAATTTTTAATGTTGGAGTCCGTCCTTCCATATATGAAATCTTGTTAGTAAAGTCAGTTGTTACTCCAAAAAAGAATTATCAATACCAGCTATCCTGCAAAAGATGCTATATTAGTGCTAATAACCTGAGCCCCGTGACTTACAAGTATGCCTTAAGCAAAATGATTTAGTTTATTCAAGTTAAAACATTGAGAAATAATTAGATTTTCTTGAACATACCGGTGATATAGCGTTTGCTTCTTTGTGTTGGGGAAGACCATCAAAATGGGTAAAGTCCATATTAAGGTGGCCCAGTGCACACACAAAAGCCCACCTCTCTAATGAACTTTCGCGTTTCAGCCTAGAAAATAACTTTGTATTTTGGATCCATGGTGGTCCTATTCCTTATCTCATTTCCTTAAAGTATCTTATGCTTCAAGTTCTTATCACTCGCAATTGTTTCAAATGCACTTTTATGTATGTGTAGAATTTTTAATAATAAGTTATACAATAAAATCTCTCATAGTGATACTTTATATAGAATAAACTCTACATAGTCATAAAAATTATATTCCCAATTTGGATAGTTATAAATAGAATAAACTCTACATTGTAATAATTATAATTTTTTAATTCCTGTCTTAAGGAAGTTTGTCTACATAGTAATAATTATTTGTATATTGCAAAAAAAAAAATATATGCTATGTTACATTAAGGTTTATGATGAAATAAAATATTTATCTAAGTTGTTTGAGAACAATTTTGCTTTACAGTTGTTACCAAATCTTCTAACTTGCAGGTATGTAATAACTTGCTAGCATGGACACCTTTTGTTGAAGCCAAAATATTTCTAGCTTCTCATCTTTAGAGCTTCATGGCACAAAATTTTTGCATTTCCATACTATCATCCTCAGGATTATTTCCTTTATCTTTTTGTCTAATTACAGCAATGATTCTTCTTCAATTAAAGCATATACGACTATTGCTCATTTGGATGATCGAGGAAGACATTATACCATTTGATTAGTGTAATGAAGTTGTCGAATTTGATCACTCAATCTTGCAATACTCTTCTATTTTTCTCATCTACTTCATTTGTAACTTGCAATTCATCAATCTCGGGTCCTAATTTGCAATGCTAAAACAATTGATAATTGTCTGTGACTTCACATCAATTGACCATGCAGCAACTGCATTTACAATTCCATCAAGGATACTTATCTTTTCTGGTCCATACATGATCTTCTATCTGTTTCAAAGGAAGCGATTAAAGCGCTACTGATAATAACCTTTGAAATTTCTAAAAAGCCTGCATCACATGGCTGGATTTTGGAATTGCTAACTAGTGGTAGGAACAACAGTTGTGTGATGAAGTGGGAGAGATTCTCCTTTTTGCCATGTACGTACAATTATCCAATATAAGCAAGACATTTCTATCCAAACGGCTATCAAACCACTTAAGCCATTCCATAAAACAAAGATGTCATCCATACATTTGAATTCGCTCGATACTTGCAATTTAATTACACGGTTAACATTATTAAAGCATCTTGGATTAAGAAACTTACCGATGACCCAAAGTGGAAGTGTCAGAGCCATCTCCATTGCAACAAATAACAGTTGTATCCCTCTTGTTTTGCTTTCGGCTCTCTAACTGCTTTGTTGCAAGAGAGTTTGGCTTGCATTCGATAATAAGCCAGTTTCATCCATTTTATAAATGTCCTTCCAAGCCCATTGTCTAATTCCTCTCTTATTGATGGCAAACTAGCTTCAATTTTCTCCATATTAACTTAACACCTTTCCCCAAATGACAAAAGGAATGAATTGCATGTCGTTGCTTGAACTTTTCCAACCATCCATTTGAAATTCAAACGAGATAGCTTCGGGATAGAGTTTCCTTAGAAAAATGTTTCCCTTCTCTTTTAACAATTCACCATCATATTGACATCATGTTGATGGCATACAAACCATCATAGAGGCAGACTCCATTGCGGGGTACTTTACCACTTTGAACTTTGTGTTTGGTTCACACATCCTTCTCTTGAAGGAGGTGAGCTGATCGTTTGAGGTCTTAGATATTGCTGCTTGTGATACCTTAAGACTATGAGTATCTTCTAATCACTTCACAAGATCTTTCTTTTGCTTCTAACTAGGGTTTGATTCTTTCATTGCACAACTCAACACGAATACTTTTAGTCAATTGAGTTCGTGTATTACTTTGGGTGGCGTGATTGATTTCTAGAGGAAGAAGAAAGGTATCACTGAATTGGTGGAAGATTTTATTGAAAACTTGATTGATAAGTTGAAACATAACAACCCTATTTAGCAGGCTAATCATAATTCTACTAGGATAAGTAAATAAGAAATCCTAATACTACTACTAAACATAATTAATCCTACTAATACAAACATGAATTGAAATCCTAGTACTATCAAAACATGAATTTTAAAATAGGAAATCAAGATAATATTAAAAGTAAATAGGAAATCCTAATACTACCCAAACATAAATTATAAAATAAGAAACAAATGATATTAAAAGTAAATAAGAAATCGAATACTACTAAACAATTTTGAAGTCCTAATACGTAACAAAACAGAATTATAAAATAGAATCAAAATATTTTTTTGTAACTACACCTCTATTAAGTTATAGCCTCCTTATAGTAATAATTAGTTTGATCCCAATATTATGAATATAGAGAGGTTTTTATTGTAATAATTATAAAGCACTATCTATTATTTACTTACAATTATAAAAATAACTGTTGAGGGATGTTTTCATGAATTCTTATTTATTTTATTGCAAGTTTTGTGAATGGATTTGTCAAAAGGGTGAACGGACATATCTTCTTCCTCATAAAAAGATGGCTTTTTTTTTTGTTTTTTTTTTTTTTTTTTTTTTTTTTTGGGCTCAGAGTTTTTTTTTTTCACTTTTTTTTGAAAGGGTTTTAATTTAAAGTCACGTTGGATTAGCATTTAGCAATTTAATAATCCAAATTTTAAATTATTTTAACTAAACGACAAGGAACTGACAGTAATTTATAATAAAATTTTAATAATATATAATATTATCTATTTTAAGTTTAGTACTAGAGTAATGCAGGATGCAAAACTCTCCATTCAATGGATCTCATCTCAGACTCTTATGAGATCGTCACTCCACGTATCGAGTAGTGAGTTTACTCTTTCTTATACCAATTGAAGTTGTAACATCCAAGTCTTATAAAATAGATATTATCCATTTGGATCTTGATCAACATATGTTTCACACAAACGTTTTTCACTTAAATGCATCTATTTAGTTACAAGGATCCCATACAAATTAGACTGAAGCGTTTCTCTATATTGTTCTATACACATGGGGTATAACTCACCAAGAAAATCGAATTCTTAAAAAAGGGTATCCAAATATTGACTAGTCCAATTACCCCACTCCTCACGTGAAAACCTAAAATATAAGTAAACAAAAGGTAAACAATGTGTGTTCTCTCTGTGGTCTCATGTTTGAATCACAAAAACAGTTGTTAATATTGTTGACCACGGACCGTAAAATTT